ATCCCTCTCCACACCTCTCTTCTTCTCCACCTATTTATTCTGGCAACCCTTCTCAGGTGGAGCATCTTCTCTCAATGCATGCTGATGTAATCCAGCTGGCGTTAAGTTGACCACTAGTTATCAAACCATAACAAGCCTGTAGCTGCACCCTGAAAGGGTGTCTGCAGAGGAATCTCTGGGAGCCTCCGCATATTGGCACCTTGTTAGATTCCCAAAGCTTCAAATCCTGATCCTTGTCCGAGAAGGTCTTATATCTGGCCCCAGCATAGACTTGATATATACTCAAATGGCTTAGAACAACAGGTCTTGGGATTAAGGGAAGGGATTTAGGAAGGCAGAGCTAGCAAGGAGCAGAGTGTAGCAGGTCTTAAGTAGCTTCCTGGAGAGTGAACCTGGGTGGGGGGGGGCTTGAAGAATGATTCAGACCCAGAGAGGAAGGGAAATGACTCACTGCAGTCCCCAACTCTGTGTTTCTTCAATGCTTGTGCTTACCATTTACCTAAACAACTGTTCTAGAAGGAAAAGAAGATAACACTGTCCTCAGCAGAAGGCATCCCAAGTACAATCTCTTATTAATTTGAGGCAGGGACCATGGCTGCCAAGTTCACTATAGCATCCCCAGGCCTCTGTGCCTGATTGCACTTTGCAGTTCTCAGCCCTTGGGACATCTTCCGTCTAACTGAATGGTCACCAACTCCCACTGGCTTTTCCTGGCATGCATCTTCTCTGACCCTGCTCTCTGTTCATGCTCCTATGTCCTTCCTTGTAGAGTATGGGAATCAGAAAGCAGAGGCCATGACTCACATAAACCTCTCCCACTCCCTGGGAATGACTGTGAGTTGCAGACAGTGACTTGGACATAGCCTGGTCAGAGCCCAAGCACGACTGCTTTCTGGGGATGTGCTGAGCTGGGTTGTACTCCAGCCTCAGTAGTCCATTCGTATGACTGTGTACTTGCAGGGGACATAGAACTGGAGATGATGGGGTACAATTGATGGCATGGTTCCTGAATGCCCTACCTGAGTCATACCTTCATGGCTGTCATCTGCACTGATACAGTCATCTAACTGGTCTCCTGTCCCTCTGGCCTCGCTTATCTTCAGAGTTTTTCTGTCTCTAGCCTACTTGAAGAAGTTTTGTGTGGCCCTCTATTACTGGGCCTTGCAGGACTCTGCTGTAACTGCTAAACAGAGCAGATAAACCCCATACCATCTGCCCCACCCAGGCCACAGAACCTACCTCCTGTCCTTTGAGGCTCATTTCTACCTGTCCTCATGCTCAGTGTGTCCCTGATACACAGAGTTGGTCATGGTCCTCAGATATGCCATGTGTGCTCTGCATTGGAGTCTCCTGAGAAAGTCATTGCCTTTTTCCTAAAATGCCTCTGCTGCTTCCTAGTGAGCTCCTATGCAATCCTAAATGACCAGTGTTATGGTTCATGTCCGGAGTCTCTTCAAAGCCTCATGTGGTGATGTGGAGAGGTTTCTAGAATTTGTGATTGATTCATGGTCCAATGCTGAGATTATGGGTGTGAGTGCTACACCCACTACAGGGTGCATGTGGCCTACATACACTATGAGGGACAGAAAGAGTCTTCTCCCTGCAGTCCTCCCTTCTTGCTCTTGTTACTTTTTTGCTGTTTTCTGCCACTATGAACTGTTGCTCCTCTGCCACAGCACTCTGCCTTGGAGCCAGCTGGTTATGAACTGGAACCTCCATAAACTGTGCGCTAAATAAATCTTTCCTTCTTAACTTTGGGTGTCAGGAATTTTCTCTCAGTGATGAGAAAAAAGTAACTGACAACTAGCTCATAAAGTCTTCTCCCCAGTCACCCCAGAGTTGGCCTCTCACGTGCATTCCAGTTCCTTAGAGACATTCTCAAGTTAATCTTGTTCTCACCCGTGTGAGATTTGGGGCCCCCTACAAGTTGAGGACCCATTTGACTTTTGTCTTCTTTTATACATTTTTCACCCTTTGGCTTAGTCTGTATTTGCTCACATGGAACATAAACAAAGGCTGTTTTCCAGGAATCCGACAGCTTTTGGGAAAAGCTAAGGATGTGGAAGGAAAGATGCTTTCAGTTTCTCTGCGTTTTCCTCTCTCCACCTTGTGCTGAAGTAGCTATGAAGGCATAGCCTTGAGAATTCAGAAGGTCAGGGCAGTGTGGCCAAGACCCCATTTCCCTCACTTTTCCTCATTTGCTAGGTCTGAGTGCAAGGCTCAGGGTCACTTTCCTCATTTTCTTCCCTTCCTCTGTTTTCCTGCATTAAACTTGCTGCTGAAGCCTGCTGAGTTCCTACAACCAACAGGAAACTCATGAGTAGCTGTTGAAAACAAAGCAAAACCCAACCAAAGGCCTTTCAGTTCAGGGACCTTGCTTTAATTTTTCTTTTAAATCCTTCCCTGGGGCCAGCACAGGCAGACCTCGACTAAACATTATAGAGACTTGTGCACAGACTGCCACAGCTCAGGTTTGTGCCTCCAGGTTACGGGTCGGCTTTCCTGACTTTACTTCAGGCAAAAGTCGTCATCTCTTTCCCTGTGTTCCCTTCTTTAATTTGGTGCTTTGATCTCTGTGCCATCTCTGAAACTTTCTGGTTTGGCACCTTGGTCCAGGCCCAGTGGTGCCATCAGTTGAGTGAGGGCAAAAATTGGTAGTGTGGCCCCCAGCCCTTAGTAAACCCATCTGGCCACAGCAGGGCATGAGGTTGAGTTAAAGATTCCAGCAGAGAAGCCCCACTGGCTCAGATGGCAGGAGCCACTGAAACCAACAAGATGCTGGGCAAAGCCTCTAGGGCCACCCTTGGTCACTGACACCCTCCTACCATCATGCTTTTCTGTCTGCTGAGAAAGTCCCCATGGTACATTCTCTTTGGACAAACATTTGACCACCTGAGAGAACCTGGTTTCTGTCCCATCACTTGGTGTCCAGTGCCCTTTCCTCCCTCCCTCTGATTATTTGTAAATCTACTCAGTGTGATTGTGGGTCTGACGAGCAATGCCAGAAAGCAAAGGGCTTGGGGTGAAGAAAGCCAAGAAAGGAGTGCAGACTTGCATCAACCGTACCTGGATCTCTCCCCAGCCATCCGTGAACCCCAGAACACACTGCAAAAAGTTTGCCCCAGGAGATAAGGAGCTCAAGCCAGTGCAAAGAAGAGGAACCATGAGAAAAGCAGGAAACCACCAGGGGTCCTCAGATGATGGGCAAGCTGCAGAAGCCCGAGTTGTACCACAGTCAGTCCATGTTTTAAACTCACAGTTTCATCTTGACCATTTGAAAGGTGGTAGTGCTGGTCACCTCGGGCTGTTACAACACACTGGCTCAAGCAGGGTGTCTTGCTGGGCTTCCCAGGGTTGGTACTGTATTATGTGGAGGCTGAGATCCTTTGAGGAAAGATTTGCTTGGGTTCCCAGTGTTGGTGCTATAATTTGTGAAGTGGAGAAGCAGGGCTATTCACAAAGCCTGTCTGCTCCAGTGTTTGGTTACATAGGACCCCCAGATACCTGGCTTTTCAGTGAACTATTCGTCAGTCCCTATCCAGGCCAGAATTTATTTATTTTTACATACTTGTCATGGAATGTTTTCAGATACTCAATAAGTGAGTGAATTTATTATGGTTTTATTCATTTATTTCATCAGCTAATTTTTATTGAGCATCAGGCTGGGCTCTGGAAATGTAAACTAGACATATAGCCTGTTCTTGGAACATGTAGGTTAGTGATACAGGCAGTTAGACTGTATAGCGCCATCAGAACTGAGAGGTTGTATCAGTTTCTTATTGCTGCTGTAATGAACTACCAAACTCAGTGGCTTACAGCAACACAAGTTCATTATCACACGGTCTGTAGATCAGAGCCTTGTGTGTCCCCAGCACTGTTGCTCTTGGAGGCTCTAAGAGTATATTGCTTTTTCAGCTTCTAGAGGTCACCTGCACTCCTTGGCTCCTGATCTCTGCCTGCTCCCTGCCTCACAGCCAACATGGTAGCTTCTTTGGTTCTCCTGGTGCTGCCTTTTTGTCCTCTCTTTTTCTGTGACTCTCACCCTTCTGCCTCTTGTCGGGGCTCTTGTCATTGCCTTGGGCTTACCACTTAATCCAGGGTCCTCTCCTGACTTTAGCACAGGTAAGTCCCTTTTCATGTGTGAAGTAGCCTAGTCCTAGCTTCAGAAGATGACATGAACATCCTGGAGGCTACCATTCAACCTTCCTAGGGGCCAATGCCAGTAATACAGGATTATCTGTCCAAGGAGCCCTCCTCTCGACGAGGCCAGATGATGTGGCATAGGAAGAATGTTGTCTAGCCCAGACCCAAGGGATGAATAGGACTTGTCCATTTTGTTCACCCCACCAGAGAAAGTGGGGTGCAGTAGTTGGATTATGGTCTAAGTGATGGATGGGGTGGGTGATGTGGCAGTTTTCAGGAAACCTAGGCATCTAGGGAGCCAAGAGCAGCTTTCAGTCATGGGTAGCCAAAAACATACTTGTTGTAGAAAGCTATGCAGGCAAACCATATTCGGCCTTTGAGTTATAGAATTTCGGTGCTGAAACAAACTTTACAAAGTATTTGATCTAACTCACCCAGGAAGGTTAAGTAAAAGCTTCCATGTCACCTGCAGGGAATCAAGACCAGAATAACTCTGATTATAACCACAGCTCTGAGGGCAGAGCTCAGTGGCCAGCAAAGCTGTTTGGCAGCTCTTCTGATTCCCCAAAAGAACTCGGTGAGGACAGATACTGGTGACGGGGGAGTTGTACTCAAAGTGTTGGACTAACATGGCCACCATCCCTCCTCCTGCAAATGCAAACCTGAGGCTTTGCTGAGCATGTTCCTCACAACATTAAGGGGCTGATTCTCTCCCTCTGAGCTCCCAGGACTGAGAATCTCACCTCATGGTGCCAGAGGTGGCTGTGCTGGGGTGCTGTAGGATCTGGAGGTGTGTGTGACCTAGGCTTTTGGAGAGGAGCAGTCACTGAAAGGTTTCTCCTGTTTCCCATCTCTAGCCCTGGATCAGCTGCTGACAGAGCTAGATGACTTCCTCAAGATCCTGGACCAGGAGAACCTGAGTAGCACAGCTGTGGTGAAGAAGAGTGGCCTGGCTGAGCTCCTCCGGCTTTATACCAAGAGCAGCAGTAAGTGTGGCCCTGGGGTCTCAGAGGGAACAGGGACACCGGAAGATGGTAGTGCTGGTCTACTCCAGCTGCTACAACACACTGGCTTGGGAAGAGTGTCTTACACAGATATTTATTGTCTTATACTCCTGGAGGGTGGAATTTTGGGATCAAGGCTTGTTCCTTCAGACCCCTCTCTCCTTGGCTTGCCAGTGGTGATCTTTTGTCCTCTTTACTCTCTGTGTCCTGTCTTATTTTATAAGGATATCTATCATACTGTGGTAGAGCCAACTCTGTGACCTCATGTTTACTCAGTTATCTCTTTGAAGACCGAAGACAGTCATATTCTGAAGGTGGTTTTGTTTTGTTTGAGACAGAGTGGCCTTGAACTCACTTATTGTAGCCCAAGCTGGCCTCAAACTCACAGCAATCCCCCTACCTCGGCCTCTCAAGAGGTGCAATTATAGATGTGTGCCACCACACCAAGCTATATTCTGAAGTATTGGGGGAATACTTTAAGTTTAAAGTAAATTTGAGGGGGTGAGGGACACAATTTAGTCCATAACAGTGGTGCAGGGGTAGAGCACTTGCTAGCATGTGCCAGGTCCTGGAACCCCAAAACAGAACATAAACAGATGCAGCAGTGGCCTGACTTGAGGGAGAGCCTCAGAAATCTCTGAGTGGTCAGCACAGTAGTCTGTGAATGAGATTTTAAGTGAAGTATTTTTAGAGTACTTATTGATTAAAAGTAAAGAAGCGGTAATGAGCTATTGTAATACCTAAGGCTTCATGGAGCACATGCCACATGCAGGCATTTGAGCTTCTTTTTACGATGCCCCTACCGGGTCAGTGTGGCTGTTACAGAGGAGGAAACTGAGAGTCTGCTGAGTTTAGGTGACTTCTCCAGTATTATGTAGCCCAAGGGAAAAAGTGGAAAGCATAGCTTTAAGACTGTAAGTCACAAAACTCTGAGTTCATAATTCTTCCACATTTTTATTGTAGCAACAGTTACATACAAAAATGTATGAAAGTCTTAAGCATGCGGTTCATTGCCTCTGACAATCATACAGCTGTGTACTTGCATCCCAAACAAGACAGAGACCATTTCTGTCATCCAGAGAGTTCTGTCTCTTAGCCCATCCCAGTTAACTCTCTTCCCACCCTGAGCCCAGGGCAACAACTGCTGTGATTCCTTCCACCCATGAGGAACTGCCAATGCTGGGGCTTTGTATAAGTGGAATCATACGATATGTGCTTCATGTCTGGCTCCCTTCGTTTAAGAGATCCATCCACATTCTTAGATGTATCCATAGCTTATGCCTTTTATTGCTGGGGAGTTGTCCATGCTGTGAATACACCACAGTCTTTGTTTTCCATTCACTTGTGATGGACATTTTGGATTGTTCACAGATTTGAGCTATAATGAGTGAGGCTGCTGTGAACATTCTTTGTAAATCTTCTCATGGACATATGGTTTCATTTCTAGTAAATTTTTTTTAAGGAAAAACCTTATGAAAACCTAACAGATGAGGTGAATTTTACATGAAGGGTTTGAAAACTAGAATTGCTGTTTGGGGACAATAAGAGACACTTGGAGGGAATTCAATCCATCTGGCTCTTGGCAGGGGCAGCCTAAGTTGTGCCAGGGAAAGAAGGTCTCCACCTGCCCAGCCATCAAAATCCAGAAATACTCCCTGTGTCCAACCTAACCTTCCAGCCTGCATTTCAAGGCTCCTTTCCACTGCTTCTCTTCCCCTCTCCAGTATCTTGATTCTCTGAGTGATGGAACCAAAAGTAAAGCTGAAGCCTGCCTGCATGTGCCCAGCAGCCTGGCCCTGTGAAGGAATAATCCCAGCTCCCCACTTTGTCATCCAGTCTCTGGGCACCCCCGTCACCTTTGTCCAGTTCCCAGGCTCCTCTTGCCTTTGTAGCAGCATCTGTCTGCCAACCAGCTCATCAAAGCAGCACTCGGTGGGAATGACAGAGGGGAAATCCACACTACAAAGCAGGGCATTAGAGAGGGATGATTCATTCCACGGAAGGATTCATCAGTGGAGTCTTTAAAAAGCACATTCCCCAGACCTTTTAAGATGCACTTTGACTTGAGAGCATTCAATTATAAAGGCCGTCTCTGTTGGCAATTGGAAAACACCTCTTTGTAATCCATCTGAGCCATGATTCTTGGCACAGATTGCTCAGCTAGCACCTCTCATACTGGGTCGCTCTTTGGTTTAACCTGTGGCTAAGCCTCCAGTAGGTGGATTTTTATCCTGCCCTGATCAGCCTTCTCTAATCTTGGTCTCTGCAGCTCATTGGTGTTGGGAGGCTGCTGATTACATGGATCCCAAAGTGGATCACCTACAGAGTCCCCCCAGATTGCTGATAAACATGGCCAGGCTACTTGTATTCTAGGGGTGATGCCTATTCTTTAATACCGCTGTATGACAGAGAATTTCCCTTCTGTCCCTCTTTGAACCTTTAGACTGTGAAGAAGGTAGAACCATAGCGAGTCGTGACTGTGTACTCTGTCCGAGCGCCGCACTAGTATATTCATTGATATGAATTCCTTCATTTAATCTTCATCCCAAATCTGCAAGGCAATTGTTATCTCCATGATACTAGTGAGGGAACCAGGCTGGGAGAGTCACTTGCCCAGTGGCATATGGTCATGAGTGGCCAATGTGGGACAGGTTGGATCTAAGCAGTGGACTGGCCTGACCTCCCTAGGCTTTGTTGCATTAGGTTAATCATTGCTCTGCCCAGGGCAGATCCTAAGCACCTTCCCCACTCTGACAGTAAAGTGCTCATCTTCCTGTTAGCCTCCTTGAGTGGCTACTAAAAACTTAAACTTAGTCTGCCCAGACTTGTAGGCAGAGGCAGGCTGATCTGGCCTGGGCAGTCATTTACATACGTGGTGCAGAGCGTAAGTGTGTGAATGGGCATTTATACTTTCCAGTGGAATTGCCTGCATTTTCTGACCCTTTCTAGATTTTCTACCTTCTCTACTTTTGATGTGGGTGGTGACAAGGCACTGGGGTGTCAGGGATCTGGCTGATGTGGTCTGCTCATGGCTTTGCCCATGGGAACTCTATCCGCTGCCTCCCTGCTCGGAGGTTCCGGCTCATTTCAGTGGCTGCCCCCTACTGGTGGGAAGTACTTAAAATGCTCTGTCCATCCAACTGTAGCAAAGAGGTTCCTGTTCCTGCTTTTTGCACCAGATCTGTGAGAAGAACCCCCCTCTTCAGACAGGGGCAGATCTCCCCAGGAATTACACATTGTCTCCCAGCACTGAAAGTTCACCTTTCCAGCTTTGGCGGTGGCCACTGTCATTTCATTGCCATTCGGAGCTCTTACTCTGGGTTCATTTCTCCCCCCCAGACTGTTACGTTCGCAGAGACAGAGACCGTGTCTTTATGGTTCTCTGTGTACTTCTGAGAGTGAGTGAGTGACAGAAGCTTTTCCCTAGACAAGCCACTCTGCCTTCCAGAGCAAGTTCATTGTGCTTTCCCCATAATTGCAGAAGACCTGAGAGCCTCTTTTAACAAACTCAGATAGTCCTGTACTGATCTTTTTCTTTTTATGGTGATGCTGGGGATGAAACCCAGGGCCTCTTGCATGCTAGGCGAGCCTCTATCACTCGGCTACTCCCCCAGTCTGGTCACTCTTGGATTAGCAACAGTGTGTGGATCAAAATCACCTGTATCTGAGGCAAAAGCACTGCAAGTTGGAGCCTGGTCTGGACAATTCAGCCATATCGTGTCTCAAAATAAAATGAAAAAGGGGAGAGGATGAAGGAGAGGAGATAGATGTAGCTTAGTGTGAAGATCCTGGGCTCAGTCCCCAGTGCCTCAAAAGCCAGTCGACCACCCACATCCACCACTGGCCTCCAGACTGCAGAGCCCAGGGTAGACACATGCAGCCTGCTGATGCAGTCACCGTGAGTTTTCTCTGGCTTTCAGGTCACCATCTTGAGAAGAATGCACCTGTGCAGAACCTAGTAAAGCAGTAACAATGTCTTTTGGGGTTTTTGGATAGGACCAAAGGCTTTTGGTTTTTGTTGTTGCTGTTTGGGGTTTTTGTTTGTTTGTTTGTTTGTTTTTTGATAGGAAAAAGAAAAAGAACAAAAACGGACCACTGGGTGCCGTTTATGTAGGGGGCCTCTCCAGTTCCTTTCCAGATCCATATCAGTCACCCACGTAAGGAAAATGTCGCTGTAGTTTGCCTCTGTGTTTCTGTTTTACACTATTCTCACGCTTGGAATTGGCTGCACACACTCGTTTTCACACGTTAGCAGTTGACATATTTTTTTCTCTTTCATTCTATAATGTGATCTTTTAATTTAACTCTTGAGTCTTGGGTATCTTTGCAAACAGCAACTGTGGAGTGTCGATTTTCACAATCGGGCAGTGTCCACTGACGGCTGGGCCACAGCATTGACCTTTCTTCCTTTATCTGGCATCTAAGTTGTGTTCTTACCTCAAAACAAAACTCACACAAGTTTACACTAAACAATAATCATATTTTATGTGCTGGAGTTTAGGATAAATTTCTAGCTATGGACATTAGAAAGGATATGAACATATAAACTACTCTCCAAGATCACTTTCCAAATCATTGCTCCAGTTCACACATCTTCTAGGATTTCTGTTTTCTTTCCCAATTTTTGTTTTCGTGCTAGAGATCAAGCCTAAGGCCTTGAGCATGCAAGCCATATACTCTGCTGCTAAACAGAGACTCAAAACACTCACCCCTCTTTGGGGACTTTGCCACTCACGTCAAAATTGTCCACTGAAGCTGATTATATACTTTGTTTAAGAAATGAGTTACTTTGAGCCTGATAGCCATGAAGCACTGGCAGGGGAAAAGTCATATAACTGTGGCATTCCAGATGCCAGGCAGTTTTGTCCTCCTGTGGGGTCACATGGTAGGCTTCTGGCTGGCACCTACATATGTGCCTGTGAGAACAGTGGAGGATCCTGGGAGTGGAGGCTCGGGACCTTTAATCCCCAGTACCCAGGAGGCCCAGGCAGTAAGGTCACAGTATTTAGAATAGCGTGGGCTACATAATAAGACAATGACTGAAAATAAATCTCTAGTAGGAAGGGCTATAGATTTTGCTCAGCATTCCTTAGATTCAACAACCAGCCCTCAGCAGCAACAACAACAACAACAACAACAAAACAATGAAACTGAAGAGCTGAGGATGAGGAACATGGCCTAGTTGTAGAAATTTTCAAGACTGTAGCTGTGCCCATACAGACAGAAATACCCTGCTTGGTAGCGCCCTGCTAATGAGTTTAAGTTGGAAGATTGTGAGCACTGTTTGCTGGTGCCCGGTCTTCTCCGAATGTCACCCCCAGCCCAATCCACATAATTTTTAAAGGTAACAAGCCATTCTGTATGTTGATGTGGCATAATTTGTTGTATCGTTTTCCTGTTGTTGAGCCTTTTAACTCCTTGCTGTGTTTTACACTGCCATTTTAAATCTTGAGCTTACCTTACTTTTTTAAATCACCTAATATTTGAGTTTTGTACTTTTGAAAATGTGTGAGTTAGGTGGAAACAAGAGTGTTTTCCAACAGAGGTACAGGGCGTAGATGTTTTGCACTGAATGATGCTGTTAAGGGCAGAACGTGGCTGAGACCCTGGTCTCCTGCCTCCCGGGTGTGCTGTGGAGATGCTGGAAGCCCCCACTCTGAGTCTCAGTGGGAGAAGAGGGCAGGCTCTGGTTAACTCCACTGCATCCCAGTTTCCTTGCAGAAAATTCTGCAGTCCCTTGTATGGCTGACCCTCCTGACTGGTCCTGGCGGGGTTGAGCACAGAGCTGATGAACTGATGGTCGAATGATTGCGGACCCATCTGGCTTCCTCCTTGGTTCTCAGGCATCTGTTCTGCAGGACTTTGGCTGGAGTCTGAGCAGTCTGGGAACACACTGAGGCGAGCTGCTTCCTTCAGCAGGGGTTGGAATTGGGTCTCTCAGCTCAGGGACACTGTAGCCATTGGAATTTGTCAGTCACAAGTGTCTAGGGAATGTAAATGAAGGGCTGCAAAAGAACTTCGAGGAGAAAGTGTAGGTCAGGCTGCTGGGCAGGCTCTCGCAGGGGAACAGCACCTGTGGATAAGAGCCAGGCTCGTGGCTGGAAGCTTCCTATTCTCTGCCTGCTGCCAAGGTAGAAAGGTGACTGATATGCACACAAGTGATTTTTAAAGGAGGGGAGGAGTTGTGTCACCACAGGATACAAGTGGGAGAGGAGTCTTTCTGTTTCTGTTGGTGCAGATCTGCAGTTCATAGAAATCACATTCCTTGTAGGGAGCTAGTACATGTACATAACACATAGGAGTTCTTTTTTCTATTCTCTTTCCTCTCCCCTCCCTCCATCTCTTGGTCTGCTTCCCTTTTGCAGAAGACCTATCCATTTCCTTTTATCTCTTATTTTTCCCTTTATTTATACTTTGGGCTACTTATCTAAGAGAAGTCATGTAACATGTAAGCTTTTGTGCCTGATTTCACCTAACATTATGCTCTCAGGGTACACTTATTGTCCTACAAATGACTCATTTATCCTTCTTTATAGCAGAGTGGTACTCCCTTGTGTAAAAATGCCACATTTTTTTTATCTGTTCTTTTGTTGATGAACATATAGGCTGCTTCCAAGATTTACCTATTGTCAATTGTGCTTCTATAAATGTGGGTGTGCATACAACACTGCAATACGATGTCTGACTCTTTCAGGAAGGTACCTAGAAGGGAAAGAGCTGGGTCAAATATAATTTCTAGTTTTAATTTTTTGAGGAATCTCCATATTGCTGTTCATAAGCTTGTACTAATATTGTTACCAACAATGTAGAAGGGTTCCTTTTCCCCCTAGCTTTATCAGCATTTATTACTTGATTTTTTGATGATGGCCCTTCTTTTTGGAGAAAGATAAAATGTCAGTGTTGTTTCAGTTTGCATTTCTCTAATGGCCAAAGATGTCAAACAGTTTTCATGTACTTCTTCTAAGAAGTGTCCATTCATTTCAGTTGCCCATTTTTTTGATTGAGTCTTTTAGTGTTAGGGGGTCTAATACTTTTAAGTTCAATATACATTCTGGATGTTAGTCCCTTATCCAAGGAATAGCTGGCAAAGTTTTTTTTCCAGTTTTGTAAGTTGTCTCTTCACACTGTTGGTTGTTTCCTTGACTGTGCAGAAAACTTTAATTTGACAAGATCCCATATGTTGATTCTTGGTAGTATTTCTTGTGCCTTTTGGATTCTGTTCAGAAAGTTGTCACTTACTCCTGTCCTGCTCAAGAGTTTTATCTCTTTTGTCTTTCAGCAGATTAAGTGTTTATGTTTTAACATTTAGATCTTTGATGTGTTTTGATTTTAGTTTCTTTTATGGTTTCATAGATGAGTCTAGATTCAATCTTCTGTGTATGGAATCCAGTTTTTCCTGTACTGTTTGTTAAAGAAGCTGTCTTTTCTCTCCCATACATATTTTTCACCTCTTCATCAAAGATCAGCTAGCTGAATGTGCTGGAGTTGCTTCTGCATCCTCTGTTCTGTCGCATTGGTCCACATCTGTTTATACACCAATACCATGGTGTTTTTCATCACTGTAGCCTCACAGTGTAACTCGAAGTCCAGGACTTTGGTGCCTCCTCACCACAGGGCAGAGCAGGTGGCTGGTGGCCCCTGTCCCCATCCCAGCCTCCTCACCCCTTGTACTCAGATTTTCCTGTTCAGCTCCCCCCCCCACTCCTAAGGACCCAGAAGCTAAACTTAGATATCATTCTGGTTAATCCCTTCAAATAATTCAGGCTCCAATAAGAATAACAGATAAAAACTCTTTCACAGCTTAAATGAAATGCTTCGACAGTCAGAAAGACATAGCCATTTGATGGAACATGTGGCAGATCTTTGAAGTATGGGTTCATTTCAACATGGGATTTTTATTCCTGAAGCCCATCTTTCTATTTCCTGCCCTTCCCTCCTGTCTCCCCTGGGCTAGGAGATTAGCAGTCTGAAATGTGTCTTTTCTTGATTGGAAATCTGTCAGTTCTCTTGATGGACTCTTACTTGTCTCAGAATGCTGAGCGATTTTATGGAACCCAAACATGAAAATGTCAGGGGGCAAGGTTACTGTTTTTCTCTGGAGGCCTCTTCCCTCCATGAAGTCATGTGAACCCTGTGCCTTCTGTCCTTCTGCAGGTTCTGATGAGGAGTACATTTACATGAACAAAGTCACAGTCAACAAGCAACAGAATGCTGAATCCCAGGACAAAGGTAGGGGGCTGGGACGGCTGCCGGGAGGACTGGCTCCCAGGAGGGGAAAGCAGGAGGTCAGGCCCCATCTTCCTCTCCCTCTTCCCAGCCAACACACTGACAGGCCTGGAGAAGTTATTTTTAGAATAAACATTTTGGTTGATGGTATTTTGAGTTGGTGTATTTTTGGATATTTTAGCAGGCTGCCACCTCCTTGCCCACTGAATAAGAAATCTGTCCCTAAAATCTCTTGGCTTTTCCCAGCATCATCCCAAGAACAGGAAGTCATAATTCAGATGTTCAAGGAAAGCAGCTGTGGTGGTGCTGATCCCACGGTCCCTGCCTCGTGTCTTTTCATAGACGTCTGTGTGGGGAGGATAGGAGAAATGGTGGTGTCAGCAGTTGCTTTAACATTCAGAACTGACGCTCTCGGGCAGAACAGCTTCTTTTTCCACTGAAGGACATATGATGTTCTCCCTGGTGCCTCACTCTTGTGCTCACTGATCTTCTCTGCAATTTTTTGGAATGAGTCTGATTTGCAGAGGTTTGCAGAGCTGCCCAGAGGCAGATGAAGGGGCATAGGCGGCTCATCTCCAAACTCCCAACTCTGACTCAAATGAAAAGTCTTAGAGAAAGGCAGGGACACAGCCCTAAACACTCAGTCCTATAAAGGGCTTGCCTTGGTGGCATTGGCCACATTAGCCCAAAGGAAGACCTGTGTGAGCTGTCTGTCCCAGACCTGGCCCTGCTGACTGAAAGGCTCGGGCTTGGAAGAACCTTTGATGCCTTTCTGTAAAAGTTACGAGAGGCTTGATGGCCTGACCTCAGTGCACCCGCCTCACCTCTTGTGCCCCTTGTGCCCTCTTTCTCACTTCCTACTGTCAACTCTGGGATGGTAGAACTTATCCAGATGGCAGCAGCCACTCTACCCAAGGTCATTTGCCTTCTGGGTAAACTGTGGGAGGAAAAGCCATAATCACAGGGTCGGTGCCAAGAGCAGCTCAATATAGTGACTGCCAGGCAGTGGCTCTGCTCACTGGAGCTCTGTGGCTGGCCACTTTTGACATGGGCTGGGTGAGGGAGCTTTCCAGACACCCAAGCTGGTTCCTCCTGAGGAATTTGCCTATGGCTAGGGCAGACTGCACCCTATTCTTGGAGGAAAAACAACTTCCCTGGGTAATTAACACCTGCTCAAATAGAATTCACGGGACAGGGGACAGGACAAGTGGCCAGACATTCCTGAGTAATGAGACCCTGCCATGAACTCAGCACGCCTCACAGAAGCTTTCTCTTCCTGCTGCCCACAGTGCCCAAGGAGCAGGGCCCACTGACTAACGGGGAGCCTGGTCAGCACTCCTCAGCCCCTCAGAAGAGCCTTCCAGACCTTCCACCACCCAAGATGGTAAGTGTCCATCCAGGATACCCAGTTTCCTTTGGCACTCCCACTGTCCTTGCCGACAGTGGTCTACCAAGCCTCTGGCACTCTCCGAGCACCCACTACAGGCAGGACGTGGTCAGTGCACAGAGGGAGACAGCAAAGGAAACCTGCACAAGTGACTTTGCATTTGCTCAGAGTCCCACATCCTTTGAGTACCCAGGGAGGCACCTTCCTTCTGCTCTGCCACTGAGATGCTGATGGCTTTCAGCAAATGAGAGTGGAAAGGTGGCTGCTTGCAGCAAGGGCTAGAAACTTCCTTTCTTAAATCTAGCACCTGATCTATCTAGAGGTCAGCCTTTGCTGCTAGTGGAAATGCCTCATCTGCCATGTCAGGCTGCTGCTTCTGGGTCAAAAGTCAACAGATGGTGGTGGACATTCCACCAGGCAGGGTCTCATTGGCACTGAATGTTCTAGGTTTCTGTTTCATAAACACTATAAACTGAGAGTTCCAAGGCCTGGGCCTGGGGGAACTTCTAATCTGATTGGATTGTGGGGAGTCCAGTAGCCGCTGGGATCCTAGTGTGAGATTTTCCATCTCCTATAGCAACTGCAGGAAGAGCATCTGAGTGATGGGAGGGGTGGGGAACAGACAAGAGGGCAGGAAGTCCCCATTTAGGGCTGCTAGACGGGGCTGCTTGCGACCACAACTGAGAGAAACCTGGTGCTGGAGTTGGGGAAAATGCCAGTGCTCAGGAATAGCACGGTCCCGGGAGCCTTTCTGAGGCGTGGTCATTGCTGTGTGGACAGAATCCAGGCCCGGGGAGAGTTCCAGCCACGCCAGCTGACTGTACAGTGCAGGCTGGCTCCCTCCCTGCTGTGGGCTTGCTCTGCAACAGGATGGGGGTGTGGCCCACTGCTCCCTCATTTGGGTGCCTCCTAGCTCTGTGCTAGGCACCCACTGCCACCCAGGAGTTCTGTATGTGGCAGAGGAAAGGGTGGCATCACTCGAGATGCCCCTCTCTGTCTCCGCATCGGTGCAGGGTGCATCTTTGCTCCCTCAGGCCTCTCTGGGGAGTCTCCGCTGACTGGCCATAATTCTTAGTCTGAGGCCCCCAGAGGAGTGGTGTTGGGTGGGGTCAGAAAGAGGAGGAGGAGGAGGAGGAGGAGGAGGAGGAGGAGGAGGAGACCCAGAGCTGAAGCAGCAGCCTCCCAGGGAGGGACTCTGTCAGCTACACCCTGAGGCCTGAGCCTGGAGTGATCCCATGGCCTGCCTTCTTCCTTGGACAGAAATACGCCTTCCCTTCCTCCTCTGACCCAGAGCATCAGGCTGCCATGGGGCTTTGTTCCCTGAAACTGGGCCCCACGCCACTGCCACCCACTGGGGGTTGCAGCAGGAGCTGGATGTCTGCCTAGGTTCTTCAGGGCCACTAGCTGGGCCAGGATTGTGGCCTCTGTTCTAGGCTTCCTGGCCACGAGCCCTGGGTTTCTCCATGGCGGTTCAGGTCCTCACTACAACCCACAGGCTCAGAGGCCAGCCTGCCCAGCAGTGAAAAGGCAGTCAGGGCTCTGGGAAGACCTCATGAGTGTGGGCAGTGACTCAGGCAGCTGTGGCCTTTCCACAGTGCTATCTGCCCAGCCAGGTGCTGTGGTCACTGCAGGAGAAACAGATGTTTGCTGGCCACTGTTTATACTATTGGCGAGCACAGCCATTTCCACCCATCTCCTCTTGGATGCCTGAACCCACGTTAGCACTGATTTCCAGTGAACTGCCTCATCAGGGAAGCAGGTGACCCCTTGACAGGACACTGCCACGGTCCGTGTGGAGGCCTAGCCTGCCCACTCGCCCCTATCTGGGAACCTTACTCAGGGGCTGCACCCTGGGAGAGATACTTAGAGCTGCAAGGAAGCTTGTATCATTTGGGGCACCCCTCATATGACTTTAGTTTTCCTGTCTCAACCAGAGCTTGGCACACTGTGGTGATTCCCACCTGCTGCCTGCTTCAGCCAGCGAAGTTTTACTGGAGCCCAGCTCGCTGCTTTAGCCTGTGTTATCTGTGACCGGGCTGCAGTCATGGAGTTAAACAGTTGTGATAAGAGACTCCCTAGCAGCCTACAAACCTATAAAATCTTCTACTTGACCCTTTACAGGAAAGAGATCGTGGATCTCTGGTAAACCCTGCAGGACAGGGTAATTTGCTTACTTCCTCTGAATAGTCAGAGTTATTTCAAGTACTGAAGTCAAATCCCTTCTGCATCTTCATTTATTGTTTACACTCTCTCTCATCCCAAGGATGCTGATACTCAAAATAAAAGCCTTTCACCTGAGCCCTGGAAGATGATACTCCCTGTCCCCTGCCCCCTGTTAGTAATAGATTGTCATATCTATAATTATGGGAGTCTCTTCTGAATTGTTATGAAACTCATTATCACATTTTACTTGAACTTAGTGCTTATGCCCCAGGATCCCAGAGAGCTGGGGCCTTTCCGTTTAGTAAGGTAAAATGGAGCTTGGGCATATAGCCTGGGCATAGCCTGCCTGCTCTGTGCCCTTCTAGAATACTTTCCTGGGTGCCCATTGTTACTTGGAGGCGTGATCACTACCAGGTTGTTTGGGCTGGAAGGAGCAGCTCACAAGTTCTAGCTTGTGCACTGAGTACCAAACAAATGATGAGTAGCAGGAAAAAACTTTCATGTTGAATACCAAGTGAGACACACTTCAAAGCAGCTGAATACCAAGGTATAACACCACTGGTTTCTCTTTGTTCACTGAAAAAAAGTTTTGTCCTTTTGTTTATTTGTTTGTTTTTGTAAGAGACTTTCTTGTCTATTACTTGTACTCTGAGTCACGTATTGGGCACTCTTTTAAGACCATGATACAGTGTATTGACTATTGTTACTCTAATTACTATGTTATGAAATTGTTTTACTTTTTCATAGAAGAGTGCTTTTATATTTTCTTTATTAATATCTACTTAGGTTACATTAAAATAAAAACCAAAATAAAATTCCAGATCATAAATCCATAGAGCACAATTAAATTTTTTCTCTATTTGCTAGTTGGACAAATAACATTCTATTAATATTCTGTTATTTCTATTGTTTCAATAACAAAATAATAAAGACATTTTTTAAAAGCCCTCCACCAAATATATGTACACAAAACATCTTGACCTTTGGTATTTTTATATTTTCTTAGGTTAATAAAAACTGATATTTATTGAGTACTTAATGTTGCTGATTATAGATTAAACCTCACCACCATTCCACGAGACAGGTTTCTGCTACATTTTACACTGAGCCTGAGAGGTTTCCTTAGTTGGTCAGAGTCACACAGCTGGGATTCTTCACCTTGGTCCTGCACTGTTTCTCAATACTGATCCATTTGCGGTAGACTTGTCAGAGAGGCTCTTGAGAGACTTCACGAAACCTTGCCACAGGCCCAGTGACAGGCCCTTTGGCGTGATGATCCACAGGGAGCTCCTACAGAGGCAGACGGGCTCCTTCCCACTCTGTCCCCTTCTAACTGTGGGATCCTGACCCCTGAGCAGACTTTGGGTAGCCAAGGCTTCTTTCTCTTCACAGTAAGGAAAGAGGGGCTCCTCAGATACTAGGACCCATCGAGAGAAGACCTTGCCATTGGCAAGGGGAGAGGATACTTTCTCCTCTGACCCCAGGAGAACCCAGCCCATCTCACAGGCAGCCTTTTCAAACTGCTGGCTCTCCAGGAGGACAGGGGTAGCTGGGGGGATGGAGACTCCTCATCCAGCTAACAGTGGCGAGTGAAAAGTCACTTCCTGATAGCTCGGGATTGCATTGCCCACTGCCTGTGAAGCTTGGGTCCTCAGGAAGTAGCTGGCCTGAGGTGCCCTTTACACCTGTTCCTCAGCAGCCATCGTCACCTGGTATGGTATCTGAGCAGCTTAGCAAATGGCGAAGTGACTCTGTTCCTTCTTATAGGGGTGCTGTCGGGGTGTGGCCAGCTCCTGCAGGTAGGTATCAGGTGATGGACCCAGATTGTCACTGGCCTCTGCTAGCAGGACAGTAGTCTAGTGATTTGGGTCCTGTTATGACTTTTTCTTTGTCCAACCTGTGGACCCCTGGGTTGTGTGTGGCCCCTGACGACAATAGCAGTGTCTCCTTCTATTTAATATAGGCCAGACTCTGAGGAGACACTGTCATGTGTGTCTCACTGAACCCTCAGAACAGCACTGACAGGACTATTCCTGTTTTACAAAGAAGGGAAGCAAGGCCCAAGAGGCCACGCTGTATCTGAATCTGGGTCCTGGTATTCTGTGCTCCCTCCCCACTGGCTTGAAGTCTAGTTGGGCGTGTTTTTTTGGGTTTTTTTTTTGTCTTTTTCGTTTTTATCGGTATTGGGGATCGAACTCACGACTGCCTGCTTGCAAGGCAGGCACTTATGCTGCTGAGCTAAATCCCCAGCTCCTAGTTGGGCGTTCTTATATTCTAGACTCCCTCCTCCTTCTACCTGAAAGGCTAATTCCAAGTTGCTTCCAGGATAACATATCTGAGGGTGTTTTATTTGTTCATGCCACAGGTTCTGGAACGGAAACAGCTTGGGGTGCCAAAGCTTGAGTCTCCGGAGGGTTACTATGAAGAGGCTGAGCCGTACGATACATCTGTCAATGGTACAATCCAGCAGCTGGGGCCTGGCGGGGGTCTGACTGCTTTAACCAGAGGTCAGCAAGAACTCATTTCATGGTGCCTGACTTGCTCAGCCTGGCCTGGAAGTCAGAGGTAGAGAGAATGGGCTGTCATTAGTAGAGAGAATGAACCACATTGAGACCTGAACACGGGGCATTCATTTAGCCCTGGATTGTTCTGGATGTGGTACCAAGACCCAGGGGAGACCTAGCCAGCTTGCCTGCAAGGACGGGCTGGAGATGGCTCATGATGAGAAGCTTCCCTTGTCTCATATTTTCTGTATTTCCATCTGTGTCACCAGTCGATGTCATCAACTGACTGTGAGTTCTTCTGTTCAGTTCAGATAGAATCAGGAATTGGCAAGGGCAGCTCCCTGATACTGGAAACTCCAGGCTTGGGGTGCCAGCACCTTTGAGTCTTAGTGTTACAGACCTTGGCGGCTCCCGCCACCTCTACCAGCTCCTTTGGTAGCTTTCGGCCTCTCTCCCAGCAGCTCCCGCTCTCTCTTAGTTCTCTTCTGCTGCTCTCTGCAAAGCACTGAGGTCTCCACCACCCTCTGGAAGTCTTCAGGGCCAATGTCCCCTTGTGTTAACTGCTCTCTCCTGGTGTAAACTCAGCCAACCCTACCTGAGGTAAGAACTGTACCTCCCAAGCGAGGCTTTGATTAGGATCTGTGCTACAGCACCGGATGCCAGGACACAGGAGGGAGCCCTTCTAAAGGACTCAGGAAGCATCAGGGAGGACTGCTTCTATAGAGGAGGAGGAAGAAGGGGCCGCACATTTGTAGTCTGCATTTCACAGACCTCAGGACTTTTGCAATTGGAGGAGGTAAAGTCACCTGGAAGTTGCAGGGCAGAGACACCTAGCATAGGTCCATGTTTCTACCTGTGTGGCCAAGGCAAATATCTCCTGGCGCTGTGGCAGTGGGACATCTAGGATAGCCTCAGCTGTCATGGCAACAGCTCTGCTGTACCCAGAGCAATGGTGGGGCTGAAGTCACAACTCCGGGGAGGTTCCGGGAGCGTCAGCCGTGCGCTGAGGCCCTCCCACATCTTTGTCTTCTTACTCAGGGTCTTCCAGGGCTCCTCAAGGAGGCAGGAGCAGAGGCCTGTAGTGGCCCAGGTGGGCTGAGCCATGGCTCTTGTCAGGGCTGTAGGAGTCAGCAGGACCTCCAGGGTGCTACTAGTGCAGTTGCAGGGGTGACAGGAAGACACTGAGGTTAGTTGCCTATGGCCACCCTTGGGGCAGCCAGAGCACATCCCCTCTGACTAGGGCCCCATTTTCTTGTCTCATCTGGATTCTGCAGAAAGATGATGGAGGAGATGTTTGTTAGCTAAGGGACATAGAGCCCAGGGAAGCAGCAGAGATGGAGTTCAGGCTGAGTCTCACCTCAGCATCCACCGCCTTTCACTCGACTCAATCCCGTGCTCTCCCTAAGTGCCAGCAGTGAGCGCATTCAGTGGAGAGAAGACAGGCAACAAATCAACCTTTTATTAGTTGTGTGGTGCTAAGTGTTCGGGTGAAAATGAACAGGAGCTGGCCTGTGGCAGGAGAGGAATGTTGTTTTCTGATGATGTGATTTGGGGAAGATTCCTGAATACTGTGGGGAATAGATCAAGCAGATCTGTGCAAGAAGGACTTTCCAGACAGACAGCATAGTACAGGGCATGCAAAGGCCCTGGTACAGGGGAGTTCTTGGGGTATTAGGGGGACAACAAGGAGGCTGGCATGACAGGAGGAAATAAGTTAGGAAGAGAGGCAGGAAAATGAAGATGATGATTGCAGGCCACCATGAGGATTTTGGTTTTTGCTTTGAGTGAAACTGGAAGTCTGTGCAGGGCTCCTTAGTGACTGACCTGACTTAGTTTTGGATGTCACTGTACAGACCGAGCTCAGTGCTGGAACCCTCTGCCCTCAGCCAGTGCTCTCCACCTTTAGAAGTTCGGTCAGAGTTTTTTCCGTCAGTATAATGAATATAGTGAGATAGTAATTTATGAGACAGAACTTGTATTTGAGCTCAAAAGGTTTATTGGGGTTCTAGTCCAAGATCAGGCAGACCTGTTGCTCTGGGAACCCGGTGGGCACGCTGGATTGCAGTGGCAGGGAGCAGATGGCAGAGCGAATGGCTTGCGTCATGGCTAAGAAGCAAAACAACCATGGAAGAGGAAGGTGCCCCATAATCCTCTTTGAAGACACCCTGCCAAGATCTAAGAATCTCCCTCAAAATGCCTCCTCCGAAAGGAGCATGTCCAGGGATGCCACACCGGGACCTTAATGTGGACAGTCAGCCTCCAAACTGCAGCACCTTTGTCCCTCTTGAGTTTCCTTCCCTTGTAAGTGAAAAGGCTTTGAAAACAATTTGCATATAAAAACCAAGGCTCCTGGGAATGGGAGCGAACTGGGACAAGGGAAGGCTTTGCTGGTTCCATAAAGAACAGGACCAGTGATGAGACAGGACTGGAGGCCATAGCAGATTCTTCATGACTTACCAGCTGGCTCCATTCTGGGAACTGTGTGGGAGGCCAGGGCTTGTTTGGATTGAGGATATTCTAAGAGGCTGGCACCATGGGCAGGTGTCTCTTAGCTTCGACCACAAACCATGCGAGGTGTTGGGAGTCACCAGCCCAGCTTGATTTTCAGACCAAAGCAGAAGGGTGTGGTGCTGCTGTCTGGGTGAATCTTGACAGGGGAATCAGTGACTCACCCTTTTGAGCAGCTCTGTGCATCAGAAGGCTGTGTCTCGGGTGTGACCCAGCCAGCCAGGACCTGCCTCCCAGACAGACCCAGGAGCCACTCTGTGGGACAGACACTTCATCTCAACACAAACAAGTGGTCAGACCCAGCTTCTCGGTGTTTGTCTCTCGCCTATGAGTGCCTTTTGGCTGGGGCCAGGGTTAGGGGTTATCACAGAGCAGCTTGGTTGCACCATGTGGACTGGATTGGGGAGCTCCAAGTGCAGGAAATCCACCTGTGGGAAGCACTGCAGTAAGTGGGAAGATTGCCTGCTGGGTCAACTGGTAGAGAAGTGGCCACATGTATTTCAGAGGAGCAGTTCTCTGAATGACAGGCTGGCCTGTTCTCACTTCCTGCCTGAGCAGGAAGATGTGCAGATGTGCAGGTTCCACCAGGAGAAAGGAGCACCGGACTCTAGCCCTATGCTGCAGCTGAATTGCTGACTTCCTACAAAAAGCCAGCTGTCAGGATTCTCATCCGGGTTTATCAGCAGCGTTACACACACCGCACCACCGGGCTGGAGTCCTCTCTTGGAGCCAGTGTTTAATGAGTGCTGGAGACAAGGGGATTTCTGCTGCTTCCCAGACATCATGATTCCTGATGTCTTGTGCTGGGGACGCCAGCTTTTGGAACAGATAGCTCCCCAGTGTCAGTTTACAGGGACAATAAAAACTGACTTCTCACCTGGCTGTTCCATGTGGTATTTCTGGTTCTGTGTAGTTTAGGCTTTGTAGGCTCCATCTCTAAATGACAGAGCACACAGGACCCCTATCTGCTCTTAAAAACACTAGCTAGAAGTAAAGGCAGATTGCTCTGCCTGCTCTCCACTAGTGACAAATCACACTGTAACCTCTGGACCTTGGAAATGGTACCCTTAGTTGGGCTATGGCTCTCCACACAACTCATACCTCCAAAGGGCGAGCACAGACCTCTGAGGGACAGGCCACCATATGTCTAGGTCTCTGCACTTGAATGTGTCCCTGTCTTCACTTGTCCTTCTCTTCTTTGTGCCTCTGGATACCATACAGGTCATTCTGGTGGATCGCTCCCCAGATGGGCGCAGGTGCCTGAAGGAGTCATTTATGCCACCATCACCTTGGGTACTGCTTGTCCCTAGAGCTGGATGCCAGTGATTCTGTGTTTGCTGCCTCGTTCACAGAGATGAGCATGTCCCAAGGGTGGCCACTGACCTCTTGTCCTCAAGCATGCATCCTGCATGTACACACCGCATGTTGTGTTGTCCAAGGAGTGACTCTTTCCCTCCTGTGACACCTGCCTGTGGCATCAGGAAACCAGATTGTACATGGTGCTTCTACTTGTGGTTGCCGAGAGCACTTGCCTTGGGACACAGTGGGTTGTGGTCCCAAGGAATGGAACCTGATGGAACCTGAATGCCTGTCTTTAATTCCTGCTCCCCCTGCATCTCCTGGAAGCCAAGAATCTGTTTTAGGAAAATGCTACATTTATGATGTTCTGTGGTCCTTCTTATGGAGAAGTGAAATTATTAATACGTTTGTCCTAAATGTTCTTCAGGCCATTCCAGGTATGATGATTCCAGTTACCTCTCTGTTAGCTTCCTTGAACCACACAGAACAGGCTGGGCAGGAGTCAGAATTCTCCATGAAACATGCAGGATCAGCTCAGGCACACACACCGAGGGGACATCTGAGGCACAGACACCGAGGGGGGCATTCAGCTTCCTCCCAATAAGCTGCATAGCCCCGCTCCATTAATTGTTGCTCCTGAGGGAAGAACCCCACTGACTTTGTATGGTATCAGTCTTCTTATTCATTTTTTAATTAAGATCAATACTGACACTGGGAAAATTTTTAAAAACCACCTTGATTCTACCTCCCTATCCAATAAACTGTTTTGAGTTCTCTGTGTTGCCTTATTTTACCGGTCTATTTGCATAGACGATTCTAGTTGTCTTTTCTCCCCTGCCTTCTTAGCTTGCAGGGTTTGTTGAGATGCAGGCTAGTTTTCAGAGTTTTAGTAGCCTAGGGTCCCATGGATACTCTTACGCGGATGAAATTGTGCTTTATTTCCCAGTCCCATGTTGCTTGCTAGCTGGTGCCTGGATGGGTATATTAATGCCTGGAGAATTTCTCCCTGTCCCCTTCTGTATTTTTACTTGTTTTGATGCCAGGGAATCTAACCCAGGTTCTTGTCTATGTTAGGCAAATGCACCACTGAAATGTATCTCTGACTCCATTTTCCCTTTTTTAAAAAATAACTAGTTTCCTAGGATAAACTCTCAGGACCAAGTTTATTAGATGAAAGAATCTAAGTACTTTCGTGGCTCTCAAAACAACAGCCTGTCACACTGCTTTCTATAAGGCTTGTGGGAATTTACGTTGCCACCAGCAGCAGGGTTCAAAGTCTCCCAGTGGATAGTACCATGATTTTCCATCTTTGCTTATTTAACAGATAGAAAAAATTATAATGGTGTAGCTTTTTAAAAATTAACTCAGGAAGAGAACCTACCACACAGATTTTAAAGAAAACTGATATTAAAATACTTAGTGTTATCATTAGAAATATTAAAACAAAATAAGATATATTTTCATTGGCACCTTGACTAAGATAACTATTACAGCCACCTCTTTCTGTTCCCCTATATTTTCATACAGATGAGCTGCTCCTTCTTTAGTATGCAGGGACACAGTTATCCAGATAGGACAGGGGCTTCTGGAATCTTCTGGGAAGACTTAGGGGCCCCATGGGTCACCCCTCTTCTGAAGGGTATCAGGAAGACAGAAGGAGATATCATTCAGTTTGATTTGGGTTAGAACAAAGTCCACTGCCTGAAACTTGCAGGGAATAAGATTGGGTCCACATTAGGAATGGGAAAAAGTACCCAGTGATCCCCAGGTAGTGAGCTGCCTGTTGAGTAGCTCAGACAGCCTCAAGGTTCTAATAAATAGAATTTCTGTGATGAGCCAGGGGTTAGGCCAGGGGCACTATAGTTACCTCTTCTCTGTGTCATGCTTTTCAAGGATTTATATAGATTGGTTGGTTCATTTTCTTCACGTAGATTTTGGTGGGCTTGAATACAGCAGTGAGGCCTGGAAAAGGGGAACAACTCTTGAGGACAGGAGGGACAGAAAGTAGAAACCAAGGCAGGTGGTGCATGCATGGAATTGTTCACAGTTTGTGCTGTGGTAAATTTGGGGAGTCTTTCAAATGACAGACTCCCTGAAGTGGCTCCTTGGCAGCAAAAGAAAGAGGGTGTAAGTTAGGAAAGATGTAAAAGAGCTCAGTTTGTCCTGGGGGTGTCCCATAGGGATTTCTTAGGGGCTCTGACCAGGCTGGGATACACAGGAGTGGAAGGTGGCTATCTTCCCAGAAAGCTATTTCCCGCCATGATAGGTGTGGCCTTTTCTTTGGGAGGAGCCATAGTCCTTCACCCCAGACTGGGACAGAACCAGGTTCAGATGAGTGACTGCTAGGGACCTGCAAAGCTGGAGGTTATCTTCCTCCTCACCCCTGTCCATAGTAGAGCACTAGGCTAACAGAACCTGGAAATGTCCCTGCCCAGCAATTTGCATTTCTCCCATGAGAAGCCAGAGGCCAAGGGGGAGACCTGGCTTCTGGGGAGCCCACTGGATCCTTAGGGCAGCATCATCTCAGGGTGTTCGAGCAGTCTGCGAAGGCAGGATCTGAGAGGGAAACAGTGAGACTTCTTGATTCAAGTTACATGTGTTTTGTGTTCCAAGGCACATCTGGGAAGCTTCTCGAAGGAGGTTTGGGGCTGGAAGCCCGCTGTGGTGTTGGGGTGCTGGCTGTTTTTAGGGCATAGAGGGAAGGTGGGTGGTGGCCTGGGGCCATGGGTTGCCTGTGCCTGTTGCCTGCTGCCCTCCCCAGTGTTGCTTGTTTAGGGACGGCCATGGGGCCTGATTGAGTGCATCTTCTTTGCAGAGGATGGAGAGGCTGTGAGCAGCTCTTACGAGTCCTATGATGAAGAAGAGAGCAGCAAGGGCAAGGCAGCCCCCTACCAGTGGCCCTCCCCGGAGGCCAGCATCGAGCTGATGCGTGATGCCCGCATCTGTGCTTTCCTGTGGCGCAAGAAGTGGCTGGGCCAGTGGGCCAAGCAGCTCTGTGTGATCAGAGACACCAGGCTCCTGGTGAGTGGCATCTCTTCCAGGGCTGTTTGGCTGGGCAGTGCTCCCCGATAGGATGCTAAAGGTTTAAAACTTTCTGATGGCAGGCGATTTGGACCTTTTCCTAACCTGAAATTGCACACAGAGTTTTGTGTGTGGAAGAATGTTCTTTTTTTTTCTGAACTAAAGAGATCTAGTAGTTTTCGTCATACTCCCAAAGGGTCCCAGGCACCTTTCTTTGAGAGACGCACATCTTTCTGTCCTCAGGTCCTTCTTCACCTCAAATAGCAAAGCCCAGTGGCTCATACAGCCCAATTCCCAGCCCCGTTCTAGCTACTGCTTTGGTCTGATACACACAAACTGTAGCTATCTTCTCAGAAACTACAGTACTCTGGACAACCAATTGTCGTTCAGATCTATAAAGGACCCAGACATTTTACTCTGGTAACAGTCCTGTCTCCTGCCATTTTAAATGAAAGTTCACAGTTCTGACCTAGGTGCACCTGCAGTGGTACACATCTGTAGTCCCAGCTACTTAGGAAGCTGAGGCAGGAGAATCACTTATCCAGGAATTCAAAGCCAGCCTGAGTAACATAATGAGACCCCATAACAAAAAGAGTGTTTTAGTTTTATGTCCTGACTTGAAGTTCCATGGAATTATTATAAATAAATACTACTCCTTCTCTGATCACAATATGCCCTGTTCCTCACAAACACTATTTATGCTGTGGTGATCCTGTCAGGCAGCCACCTAAGGAACCCCATTTTATGATGAGAAAATGAGGGGCTGAGTCTTTCTCTGGTAGAAGGAGAAAGTCTCTTTTTTTCCTTGCTAACATAGCAGATAATAGGCTGAGTTTTTGTGCCTGATGGATCCCTTGCTGAGAAAAGAGGTGGAGAAATGTCAGGGGTTTGTTCCACCTTGCAGGCGTGAGAGATGTCGACAGGAAATGTACAGTCATGCACTGCTTAAGGGCAAGACACCTTCAGGGAAATGTGGTCTTGGGCCACCTAGTCACTGTGTGAACGTCAAAGTGTGTATTTAATCTAAAGCAGCTTCATCATTAACTGCTGTGATCTTAGGGCACCACTGGCCATCATTACAGCCAGTTGTTGACAGAGACTTCATTGAGTGCCTTGGGACTGTATTTAGGAACTTCCTGCCTGAGTCCCAGAGCAAGTTTAAACCACTGGGATGAGCTTGGCCTGGGGCACCCTCTGGCCAAGGGGAAGAAGGCTGTGTGATGCTGGGAGGGGAGTGGCTGCCCCACGGTGTCCAGCCTTCTGGTTTGGGGGTGAAATCAGACTCTCAGGGGGCTTTTCAGTGTTCAGGGGTCCTTCTGCAGCTAGACTTACCCAACCCACTCCCCACACCCTGGACCAGCAGTGCCTTTTCTCTTCCCCTCCAGTGCTACAAATCCTCCAAGGACCACAGTCCTCAGCTGGATGTGAACTTGCTGGGCAGCAGCGTCATCCACAAGGAGAAGCAAGTGCGGAAGCAGGAGCACAAGCTGAAGATCACGCCCATGAATGCGGACGTGATCGTGCTGGGCCTGCAGAGCCGGGACCAAGCCGAGCAGTGGCTGCGGGTGAGGGAGGCCCCAGGCTGCCTCTTCCAGGCTCCCAGCTCTTTGCACAGGGTGGAAGGTCAGCAACCACGTGTTCCAGGTGGTTTCGTGGAAACAGACAACACACTGCCACACAGTCTGAACCCAGGACTCGAGGTGTAGTTGAAACCACTTGCCTTTTTATCTCCAGAGAGGGATCAACAGCTTTCCCATTAAAAAACAGATGTCTCTGCCAGAGAGGTCCTGAATGCCAGCAGGGCCCCTGGTGAGGCCAGTGAGACAGAACCACCCCTTCCCACCTTCCTGCTGCTGCCTCTGCTGTCAGGGCCATGTCACCATACTTCTGGTATTGCACCACCTGCCATGCTGGCTAGACATAACCCCATGGCAGGCTTCTCAGCAACAGACCTAGGTCACTCATTAAAATGCAACTAACTGGCACCCAGTGAGGTCCTGGTCACCCTGAGGCCCAAGTTTTGAGCACCCTAGATTGTGAGCAGGCAAGATGTTTCTGTGAAATCACTAAAGGTTTTGAGCACACTGGCCGAACCAAGCTTCTAGAAGTTACCTTGATCCTTACGGCAAAGTTTTCAGGTGGTTAAATAAAGCCACCCAAGACAGGGAGGGGTGCTGCACAGATTGGGCTGAGGTTCTGTAAGCCCCGAGATTGGTAACTCTGAAAGGCCTAGCTTTGTAGAGCAGCTGCCCTAGTTCCAAACCCTGGCCTTACCTCTTTTCAGCCATTGGTTGGCTCCCTTAGTGTGTACAAAGCGCTTAGCACAGTGCCTGATATGTACTGCGTGTAGGAACTCTGCCAGGAGAGATGGGGCCCAGAGTCCAGTCTCCCCTAGGGCACATGCCAGCCCTTTCATCCTTACCCACTATAGAAACACATACATTTGTGCCTATGTGTGCACACACGTTTGCATGTGTGTGCCTGGACATACACACTGCTGTTCCCCGTGCCCAGAGCTGTCCCTCTGACCTCTCCAATAGCCATCCTTCCTCTGACCCCCAGCTTCTCTCCACAGACATTCACACCCTAATCCTAAGGCCACAGTCCCTGCTGGTAGCTTCAAAGACGAGCACTTTGAGCTGGTCCAGCCTGTGTGTGCTCCTCACCGAGAGCCTTTTCTTCTGGTTGGATGGCACAGGGTGGCCCTGAGTAGCTGCCATACCTGCAGTGTGGTGGGGCTCACTCTCACTCTGAGGTCCATGGCTTTTGTCAGACCTGCCCACCTTCCCTGGACCTCTGATAATCATGCCTGTGCCCAGGTTGCGACAGGGGTATGGCAGTAAATGGGAAGTGCTAAGTATGGGATGTGAGTGGCAGGAAAGGACGGCCAACTGCAGAGAAGCAGTTCCAGAGAAGGAGCAACCCCCATGCCCTCAAGTCTGCACTCCAGGCTAGGTGCTGCCCCAGGCAGGGCATCCATGTACCCTGGACTGGCCCAAGCTAATGAGGACAGGAAAGAACACAGCTACTCTGTCCTGGGTTCTTTGATGTTTTTTTTTTGTTTCTGTTAAATACAGTCCTGCTGTGTAATTCAGGCTGGCCTTGACCTCATGACAATCCTCCTGCCTTAGCTTCCCAGGGTCTGGGATTATAGGTGTGTGCCACTGCGCCTTGTGCTAGGTTCTTGACACCTGAGTCCTTACAACCAACTCAGAGCTGTCCCATTCTCCAGGGGCTCAGGCTCAAGGTCACACAGCTGCCCTAGTGACTCCAGCACCTGCCCTCTTTCTGTGACACCTTATTACACTCTTCATGAGCCAGAGCCCTAACAGGAGCCCATCTAAGAAGAGAGCCTTGCCCCACATACCCCGCCTCAGAGCCCTTCTTCCTTCTTCTTTGGGTGCTTCTGATTTTAAACCCACTTCCACAGACTGCTGTGAGCAGAGACTCAAACAAGAGGGTCCTTGAAACTGCTTATTGAGTCTGCTGCAAAGGGCTTCTGATGGCTGGTGTGTGTCTCTGTGTGTCTGTGTGTATCTGCTTGGGGAAGTCCATGCTGGGAATCCCTGAGGTGACCCCTGGCTCAAAAAGGGCCAAGGTGCATAGTGAAGCCTGTGCCACTTCTGAGCCATGTGTGCTCCAGGCCAGGCCTTTCCTGGGAGGATGGGGCGGTGGAAGGAGATATACTGTAGAACATCTACCAGAGCTACACAGTTTTCACCCTGTTCCCAGGCAGCACACAGCCTCCATTGTGAGCCCGTGGTCCCCCAAAAGCGAGGACCAGCCAGTGAATGCAGCTGTTCATCACACCCACAACAAGCGCTAGTGTCTGCATGCTGGTGCTCAGGAGATGACGACTATGCTGTAGAGGCCTTGCTTACCCCCAAAACACCCCACTTCCCTGCAGAAAAGACCTCAACAGCCAGCCTTCCCCACCCAGCCTGCAAACCATGTCCTGAGACCACTGTGAGCCAAGCCGGGGTAGGGGGCTCCTTGGTTCCTTTGCAGTTGTGTGTCTTTACCCTCACCTGCACTCCCTGACCACAAAGCCACGGTCTCCACTTGGGTCTGGTGATGCGTGCAGGCTTAAAGGGGCACTTAAGGACCCCAGCCTTTGCCAACACTGTTCTTCTCGCCCAGGTCATCCAGGAGGTGAGTGGTGTGCCTTCCGATGGGCCATCTGAGGGAAACCAGTACACCCCAGAAGCCCAGCGCCTGAACTGTCAGAAAGTAAGGCTCTACCCTGCTTGGAGGGGCAGGGGGATTCAATTGTGGTTTTGCTCCATAAAAAGCAGAAGTATAAAATTAGGAGCTTTTGTTTTTGTTTTGTATTTCATAGCTCATTTCAGCCCAATTAGTAAAAAAAACATTCCGTTCTTAGAAAAGGGCAATAACTTTAATTAGCTTGTCAGGAAAACAGACGAAATGGATACAGATCTAAAATATTTCCTTGCTGAGCATGAGACACACACTGTTAGAGCCGCAGTCTCTTTGCCCAACGTTCTTAAGCTGAGAGATTGATTTCTTGAGGTTCTTGCTTTTTGCTGGTCACCCAAGCAGCCTCTGGAGGGTGCGGGTTCCACACTGACCCCATCATAAGGGCTCCAGAGGTCATCTGTATGAAACTCTGGGGACCCAGAGGTTGGTTTGGGGGCCGGGAAGGGGAAGGCTGTCTGCTGTCACCCTTCCCATCCCTGAGTGTCTGCAGGTGAGGCCAAGGCATGCAGTGTGCCCCAGGGGGAACAGTGTCTCATTTGGGGGTCCAGCCCTGACAGGACAGCACAAAGGTGTGCAGGGGCTGGAGGAGGTAGGGGCCCTTTGTTCTCTGGCCAGGCACAGGCCACCCACAGAAGTGCCTGCAGCCCTGCCTGGGTGACTGCCGGGCACTGGTGTTTTCATGGTCTCACTCATTCCTTGGCCACTGCAAAAGTCAGAGTGCATTTGGGTTTTCTTCCTGCTGGGGTGATGAGTGGGAGCCTCCCTGCAGGCAGAACTGCTGTGTTCCCCCGGCTGGGGTGCACACCCCTGCATACCACCTCAGGGGGCCTGGTGGCTGGAGCCTGGTGGATTTCTGACAGCCAGAGCCGGCAGGAGCTTGATTGGAACACTCAAAGGACTTTGTAGCCAACCCGTGCCCAACCAGTGGTGGCGGCTGTGCTGCCCACTATTCTCCCTGATGCAGCCTGGGATATTACCCCACATGACGCACATGCAGTGAGGCTTGGGGAAGGGTCCTTTCACTTGGTCCCAATGGACCTGGCTGTGGGACCTCAAGCTGGGCTTGTATTCCTATCTGACCCTGTGCAGATGCCAGTGCTAATGTAGTCAGGTCTCAGAAGAGTTCCTCATTTGGAGGGGATGCCAACTGGAATGCCATCCTGGGGCTCCTGCCTGTCCCACTGACTCTGGGGCTAGTGGGTCCCATCAGATTGGGTAGAGATTTGGGGGCTCTGAGACAGGGAAGGTGCTCTCCATGGGGGCAGGGCACAGAGCTGAGGGACCTCTGGAAGCAGGCGAAGGCAAGTCCTTTAGAGAGCCCAGGGTAAGCTTGGCCAGTGTCCTGCCAGGGACCTGGGTTGTTGCCTTGAGGGTTTGGTCCGGTGACCTTTGATCTATATCCAGCAGCCACCTGTTTTGCCTTAAACTGTGTCTCTAAGGTAACCATTTCAGGCTATGGTCCACACCCATGTCTCTCGTCTACAGCCTGACATAGCTGAAAAATACCTGTCAGCCTCTGAGTATGGGAGCTCTGTGGATGGCCACCCTGAGGTCCCAGAGACCAAAGACGGTAAGACCCTAAGACTGATTGGCTGTTAGCCATGTGACCGGGAGGGTGACACTGAGCCTTCACTGTCTGGGTTGTAGCTGCTAATTCTAACACACATCACTCAATTTAGAAACTGTTGGAAAATAGAACCTGGAGAAAGGGCACCACAGCCAAAGTGAAGTTAAGCTTTATAAAAGGCTGGGAAGGAAGATCCTTACATCTCTTCCTGTCTGCCAGTCCCACTTCGAACCCCGTCTTGCCAGTTAGAGTTCATTCAGATGCTCAGGGGCTCACTTACTCTGAGCAGTCTGTACACCCCATGGGCGTGTGATTTTGGAGACAGCTGACTCTGTCCTGCAGATCCTGGCTTGGGGAGCAGCTGTGTAGGTATGTGTAGGGGGAGGCACGGTGGAGGGCACAGGGATGAGTTTATGCATCGGTGGGCTTCATGCATGCTGACGGTGTACTCTCGTCTTGACAGTCAAGAAGAAGTGTTCTGCTGGTCTCAAGCTGAGCAACCTGATGAACCTTGGCAGGAAGAAATCCACCTCCCTGGAACCCACAGAGAGGCCTCTAGAGACCTCTAGTAAGGACTGGCATCTCCTCTAGGACTCAGGGCTCATTCCCTAGGCTGGAACCTGTCTCTAGGCAACAGGCTGGGACAGCCCAGGCAGAGAATGTCTGGGCTGCTTCTAGTCTCCCCTGGGAATGCGAGTGTGCAGCTTCCGGGTCTGGTTTGTCTTCACTGCAGAAGTTCTTCATGCAAAGCTGCACTCTGTGTTTACACTATTGGTTCCTTGTGTAACTAGAGTAACAGATTAGCATTCTCCTAATATGCATGCATGCATGCTCACTTTTGCACAGAGATACATCCCCATCCCTTTTTAGATTTTTTGACTTTGAGACAGAGTCTTACTAAGTTGCCTGGGTTGGATTTGCATTTGCAGTCTTTTCTGTCTCAGCCTGATAGAATGTTGGGACTATAGGCATACATCATCGTGCCCAACCTCCTGATGATCTTTTCAAAATGCTGTTCATTTGATCTGCAGGTGGGGGGTTATGGCAGGCAGCTTTAGGATGAGGTGCACAGGCCACTGGAAGACACAGACCTGAGAGCATCAGCCCAAGACACAGAATCACTTTGTACCCAAAGTACACACTGGACCGGCCATGTTCATAGCTATCAGGACTCAGGAATGATGGGCCTTTCCTGCTGGGGGTTCAGAAAGGGCTTGGTGGACCTGAGCCTTGGGCAGGAGCCAAGACTGGGACGGGGATGGGCCAGAGCTATGACAGAGAAAATAAGAAAGCTGTGTGGCTGGTTCATAGGGCATGTATAGGTGCTGGTAGGTTCTTAGAGGTCTTCTCCCCTGCCCTCGCTCATATCCATGGAAACTGAGGTCAGGAGGGAGATGGGCCTGGCCTGGGAACACCCTGGAGTGAGATAGCTGGTAAGCTGGACTGGTGCCTGTAGCCCTCCCTGGGGCCTGAAGGCCATTACTGCCCACCTTTGGCCATTTCCCCTTCCTGATGGCACCACGTTCTATCCCTGGGCTGTTTCCTGAGTCCCAGATAAGTTCTCTAGTTGCTTGAGGCTGGCAGGTGGTACAGTGAAATGGGGAGGCAGCCTGTGAGATACCCCCTGGATCCTCCTGCTTCTCTCACTAGGGCTGGAAGTAGCCCAGCTCTGTGTGTGTCCACAGCATCAGAAGGTATGCTTCATGGCCTGGGGGCCTGCCTGAACCCCATATGTCACCATCTGGTCTGTGAGATATGAGTGGGTGACAGCCAAGAGTCTGCTTGGCAGCCCGGTGTGGGGATGTTCCCTGGGGTGGGGGACAGAAAGGACAGTTTTCCTTCCTGGCTCTTGGGTGCTTACAATCTGGACTCCCACTTCTCTTGACCCAAATTTCATTTTGACCTGAGGATCGTGATGGGTACATGTGGCACCAGCCTAGGTGGGCCAGAGTTCCAGGTCTCTCATCCCTCCACTTTACTACCTGATTAATATGGCTCAGAGATAGCCATGGTCCCCTCTGTGTGCCCAGCACTGGACAGGGCAGGAAAGTGGCTGTGCACTTATACCCTGCTGCCTGGTTCATCCAGCAGGGCTTCAGAGTAGCTGTGAGCCCCTTAGCATGGTACAGGTGCCCATTTTGTAAGTCAGTACATCTGAGGGGATGGGCACAGATGTCAGCCCACCACATGTGGCCATGCAAATGCCACTGAGCTGGCTTCTGCTTATCTTTGTCAGGGATAAAGGTGTGGTGTGTGGATTCAGTAAACATTTCTCTGATGGGGGAGAGGCTTATTCTGTCCCTGGGAAGCTGCGCACAATGCATGCAACCATTTGAGAATAAAAAAGGATGGCAAGAGTGCCAGTGCTGGAACAGAAGCAGAAAGTTTCACTGTAGCAGGAGCCAGGTGATCTGAGAGCAGAGCCTGGACCAGGGAAGGCCTGAGGCAGCTGCACCAGGCAGCAAGAAGCTGAATGCTGGGGGCTGGGGTGGTGCAGCCCAGGGATGCTAAGCATATCAGGGAGCTCAGGGTGTACCTGCAGCCAGGAGACGGCTCTGGAAGTTTCCTGCTACTGAAGGGCCTAGTCCAGTGATGGCAAACCTTAGCGCATTCAGTGGTAACAAATAGCCTCTACTGGCCTAGATGCTTCCACCAAGTAAGAAGAAATATGCTGTTGAGACAGACAGCCTGCCTGAGTCGAGCAGCAAACCCAACTGCCAAGGGCATCTAGGGCTGTGCCATTGTCCCCGTGCCACCCCATGGTTTCATCTTATGCATCCTCATCTGCCTGCATCTCCACATCCCTCTGCAGGTTACCTGAACGTGCTGGTGAACAGCCAGTGGAAGTCACGCTGGTGCTCTGTCAGGGGCAGTCACCTCCATTTCTACCAGGACCGGAACCGTAGCAAGGTGGCCCAGCAGCCCCTCAGCCTGGTGGGCTGTGAAGTGGTCCCAGACCCAAGCCCCGACCACCTCTACTCCTTCCGCATCGTCCACAATGGGGAGGAGCTGGCCAAGCTGGAGGTATCGCTGACCTGCAGGCAGGCAGCCGAGGCAGGAGGGTCACAGCTGATAGCTTTAACTCTCAAGGAACCAAATCCTGCTGAGGGGAATCCAGTGCAGCTGCATGTTAAGTTACTTCTTTCACCTGTGATTGTGTTTTCTAATTGTCCATTTCTGTTCTGACCCCAGGGTAGTTTTGTCATAAGGAGAAGGACAAAGAGCTAATTCCTGCACTTAGATCAGGCCCAGAGCTGCTAGCAATGCCTTGGGGAATTAAAAAGGTGCTCTATAGTTTATATGTCACCATCCAGGAAAGTCTTGAGGCCTAGCACATAAAAATAACCACTGTCACAGCTTGGGGCAGGGCGGGGTGGGGAGAAGTATTACTGTGACACACCTCTTTTCTCCTGCTCTCCACCCTCTGTTTGATGTGATGCTATATTTACAAAGATAAAAGGCAGCACTATGCCTTGAAATGAGCTCCAAAGGCAGAGCCCAAATTCTTTGCACACACACTAAACCACACGCTTTGTCCATTAACTTCTGCTCTGTAGTCCTTTATCAATTCAAATTGAACTCCAGTACTGCCCTCTGGTGGCTAAAATGTCCATACCACAATTCCTGTCCTACAAAAGTTTGTATTCTTTGCCAACCTGTCAAGGAGCTACCTGCTCAGAGCCACAATCTGGTAGACAGGAAAGATGCCCCCTGTCCTCAGGGAACTTGCATTCTAGTTTGAGAGTGCAGTGATACTTGGCTTGTGACCCAATTGTTGCTTAGTTAGGATGGAAGGAGCCCAGGAAGCTGTGAATATTGCCATAGGACGAGGCTGGGTGGGGCAGGGCTTGGTCCTGGGGCAGTGGGACCCCTGCATGCAGGGTTTCAAGGGCAGTGGCAGATTTGCATTTTCATACTCAGATTTGCATTTTTGGGTGCTTCCTCCAGTTTGGGGTCGGGGGTGGATGGAAAGGAGTCAAAAGGTACAAAAGGAGACTGTCAAGAAGCTTCCACTGTTATCCAGGGCAGAGATGGTGGCCTGAACTAGGGAATGGACGCCCTGTGAAGTGGCACTGAGAAATCCAGCTGAAAATAAGTGAGAAAAGCAAATCACCTAAATACCTAGTTCATTTCATTAAGGGACAGTGATCAGGTGGGAGTGCTGTGTGGTAGATTGCCGGAGGAGAGCTGGTTTTCCTCATGAAGACAAATCTGTGGGATTTAGACAATTGCCATGTTTTCATTAAAGAAGCAAGAAACAATGTTGGCATTTTAATAGAAGTGCCCAGTGTATGCATTTGATTAGAATGTTTTGCCTCCGAGGTAGAAAAATATCAAATTAACTGGAATTTAGTTAATTTACAGAACCATTTGACATGGTATAAAGTCTTCCTGACACCTGGACTTTACTGAAGTTGTAAACAAAAGTAAATTTGAATGTTGTCAGTTCTTAGCGAGAGCCCAGACAGTCTTGTAGGTATGGATGAATTAGGCTGATAAACAGACTGTTGATGAAACAGAAGTGTCACCTGCAGGCCTATAATATTTTAACAACTCAGAACAGGTGATAACTATTCACAGTTTTTAGTATCTATGACCTGATGATAGTAGTTATCACCTTCTACAAACCCAGGTCTTTATATCCCAAGTCGCCAGGGAATATTAATACTAATATTAATATTCCCGACAGGGAATGCTATAGGGGACCCCTGGGAGTAGGACTTGATGGTAAAAATGAGGGATCCATGCCCAGGCAGTCTAGGAAGGCCGACCATGGGAACTGGGGCTGGGCAATGGGATTGTCCCCAGGTGTCCCACATGCCCCACTCAGTCTCCTTTGGCCTCCTTGCAGGCCAAGTCTTCTGAAGAGATGGGCCACTGGCTAGGCCTCCTACTGTCTGAGTCAGGCTCCAAGACAGACCCAGAAGAGTTCACCTACGATTATGTGGATGCTGAGCGGGTTTCCTGTATTGTTAACGCAGCCAAAAACTCTTTCTTGTGAGTATAAAGAGGCTTTGCACTAGGTACTCCCCCAGCTCCAGCCCTGCTCCTAGACCCTGAACGCCTGGTGGGCAACTGGATCAGATGGCCATTGAGAGCACAGGGTGCAGCCCCATTGCATCCAGCAGTAGAAAGCTGCAGAGTCTGCAGTCAGGGAGCAGCTCCTGTGGAGGGCTGAGCCAGGTCCTGTGTCCCAGGAGCAGCTGCAGCTCTGGTCGGACTCTGTCCAGCTCCCTAGGGCAGAGCAGGCACCTTTGCCAATCTTCCTGTTGATGCAGCACTTTTCTTGGGTCCCAGGCACATCTGGAGTAAACAGGGCACAGGGTGGCACTTCTGGTTTCCAGGTGAGTAGACTGGAGCCCTGGGAGAGGTACCCCAGATGGGGAGGTTAGTCCCCGTACAGACTGAGTAGAATCCGTTTCTTTAAGCACAGTGTAGGGATGGGATCTGGTTGGTGCTGCCCCAGGTGTCTTTAGGAAGGAGGAGATTCCAAAAGGGAGGTGTCCAGGAGAGAAGGTGGCCACTGGCTGCTGGAGGGAGAGGAGTGTATGAGGCAGAGGAGTTTGTTGTGGGAGAAGAATCTGGACTCAAGGGTTCTAGGAAGAAATTTCAGTAAATATAAAGAGGAGAAGCCCCCAGACACATAGGGAAAGACACTGTCTCCAGATTGTCGTGCAGCTGTGAGTCTGGTACAGCCACCTGTGAGGATGCCTATGACGCTGACATGGCCACCACGCTGTAAGGAAGCTTCATACAGCAGACTCTGGCTGTGTCTTCCAGGCTGATGCAAAGAAAGTTCTCAGAGCCCAACACTTACATCGATGGCCTGCCCAGCCAGACCCAACTGGAGGAGCTCTACGATGACGTGGAGATGTCAGAGCTGACACCAGCGGTAAGGATTCTGTGGGCAGCAGCTTGCGGCTGTCCTGTCGGCCTCCTGCCAGAGATGGTCAGATCGTCCCTAAGAACAGACTCAAAGTCACCTACTGGTGCAGGCCCCTTGGTGCAACAAGCTTATCTTTTGTGTGTGGCTGGGGCTGTGCCCTTGGTGTGGCTCGGGGACTTGTCTAGATAGAGCAGCTGACTGACTGCCTTGGTCAGCATTGGGATGAAGGGTGTGGTGTGGGGATGGAGCTGGGCACAGCATTAACTTTCAGAGGCCACACTGATGGCTGATTCCTGGTACTGGGCACAGAACTCTTGCTATGTGAAGAACTTCGTCGGTGAACTCATTTAACCAACCTCTAGGAAGACACTGCTGCTTCCATCTCTGCAGGAGGAAATAAGGATCAAGGAAGCTGAGTGGTGTGTTGGGGTCTTCAGGACGCACCTGGGGTGGAAATATGAAGTAGGGCCAGATCTGAGGCAGGCTGGTATCCTGTTCACAGTTGGAGTGGAGATTATGGTGGATACCACCTGACTTCTTCTGCAGGCAGAACCCACCGAGGAAACCACCCACTCCGTAGAGGCCCTCAGCGAGAATGAGCCGGACAGACTGTACCTGGACCTTACACCAGTCAAGCCCTTCCTGCATGGCTCCGACAGTGTGCAGGCCCGGGCCTCTTCCCCTGTGTCACCACAGCTGGACGACATGGCTAAGGTCCTGCCTGCAGACCCTGGCCCAGCCCTGGAGGACCTCTGTGCAGTGTCTCCAGAGAGCCAGGAGGAGGAGGTACAGGGGTCCCTCCTTGGGTGAGCCACTCACCATCCTTGCCCCCCAGCTGGCTGAGTAGGGTTTCTTCTCCTCACAGAGGCAGCTGGCCAGCCAGGAGCCAGAGGAGCCAGCCCTGAGGATCACCACTGTCAAACTACAGGCCGAGCAGCAAAAGATCTCCTTCCCACCAAACTGCCCCGACATCATGGCTGCTGTCCCGGCCAGCACCAGCCCTCCTGTGAAGGACAGGATGCGGGTGACCAGTGCAGGTGCGGACTTCTGAGTTTTGCATGTGATTTGGAGAAGTCAGTCCAACCCCCTCCCTTTCAGATGAGGGACTGGAGGTTGACAGGTGAAGGATTAACCCAGGGTTAGGCAGCAGAGCAATTGTGGGCCCACTTTCCTTTCCCACCCTGCTGGGCCGTCTGGAATCCAGCTCTTATCTGGCTTCCAAGCCCTGGTTTTTGTCTGAGCCTGAGGAGCTGGGCTGGGGACAGGTCTCAGGATCCAGCCTGGCTGACTTGGGGCCTCCCCTCTCTGGGTCTTAGAAATCAAACTTGGCAAGAATCGGACAGAGGCCGAGGTGAAGCGGTACACAGAGGAGAAGGAAAGACTGGAGAAGATGAAGGAACAGATCAGAGGGCACCTGGCTCAGCTCCGGAAAGAGAAGCGGGAGCTGAAGGAAACCCTGCTGAAATGCACAGGTATGGGGCCTCCGGTGGGGATGGCCCAGAGAGGGGCCCTCGGTGGGGAAGCATCGGGGTCTGCAGTCAGTATTCCAGGCCCCTGGGCCTAAGCCCCTTCACCCTTGGCAAGGGCCCCTCCTCTCTGGTCCTGCCTGAAGCTACACAGAGGGACCCCTGACCAATGGCAACAGGACAAGCAGCTACTTAGGCTAATTAAAATAGGTAGTCTTTAAAAACATAGTTAGGCCTTGAAGGGTTGGTTTCCATTTAAAATATCTTTCCAGGGCCAATCTTTTGATGTAGTACCAGGCCCTTCTGAAACCTGGGACAGCTGCTGGCATTAACCACCGCTTCAGGGCACTGTGCTTTACCTTAAGACTCCTGCAGAAAAACCTGAGGCTTTCTAGATTGCTTTCTAAATCATTCCCCTGTCATTCCCACACCTGCGTCCTAGCAACTTAGCTCTGCAGAAGGTTTCTGAAGCATTTGATTTAGAGCCCAGAGTAGCTTTGTGCTCACTGCAGTGGTGCACTGACAGGCAGAACTGGCAGAGCAGGTTTGATGACAAACAGCTGATTCCTGGGACGTTTGTAATAAGATCCAGTGAAGAAAGGTCTGAGGAGACAGTCCCTCTTTAATAACAGCTTTATTCAGTTCTGATCCACAGATCGTGCGACCGACCCATTTAAAGTGTACACTGCGTAGTGGTCTGCATAGTTCTGAGTATACTGACAACTACCATCAGTTTTTGAATCGCAAAGAAAATCTGTATCCATGAGCAGTAATTCATTTCCCCTCAAGTTCTCCAACTGTTTGTAGATGGGAATTTTCTAGTTACGATGGTCCACGTTTCTGGACATTGTCAGAGCTCAGAGGTAAGGAGACAGCAGCGTGGCTTTCTTTCACCCAGCCAAGACTAGAGTAGATGAAGGTGACCAGAAGCTCATCTGAGACAGTGTTTGTGTTACCAAGGTCCTGGGGGCTTTGAGGTCCTCCCAAGATTCTTTCCAGATTCTTCTTGTCTCTGAATAGAGGATGGGTTAAGACACATGCAGAATGCAGGGAGGTTTCACATTTTTTTTAAAGGTAGAAAGAGAAGTATGCTCTGAGTGGGCCACTGAGGAGAGGCCCACATGGCCACAAGGTTAATGGCCACTGTCTTTTGTATCCCCATTCCTCATGACGACCTCAGACCTAGGTCATCCTGTGAAAAATCTGCTTTACTTCACACCAGAACTGAGAAGACCACTTTCCAACTTGAGGCACAGGACTTGAGAACCAGTTTTCTATGCATGTGTCCTCGATCTGTCATTGACTGGTCACACCCCTTACCCAGCTGGATGGACACATACACACACACACGAATATTTTCCTCATTTTGACCCTTGCCCCCCACCCCAGGCACTGATCTAGGGCTGCAGTTAGAGGCAGGGCTCCCCATCTTTTCTTCTGGGCAGCTATTCCAAATAGGAGAAGAAAGTTTTCCTTATGTGTTTATTGTCTTGGCAGTTAAGCCCTGCAGTGCCTAGGTTAATAAGTTACAAAAAAGAAGAAAATGATTCTCACAGTATTGATATTGACCACTAAGTGTGAATTGTATTTAAAAAAAAATTCCAGGCCCCAAAACATTAATACATCTTCTCCACTTTCCTTTTCTCCATGAATCTCCCTTGAAATAGGAGTCCTATTATGCTTATCCTCTTGTCACTGGACAAGGCATAAGGAGATACCCGAAGCTGAAATAAGGAACCTACCCTACCCTGCCTTACCTGTAGAATAGTTTTGCTGGCTCCAGTAGCAGAAAAAGAACATTCAAGATGAGTCAGTAGAGGCCTGGGAAGTGTTTACTAGACAAAAATTTGCTTACACAAGAGTGGAATGCAAGCATTCAGAGAAATGAAACACTACAGTTTGGAACTGGGAATACTTATGTTTTTGGCAGTAGAAATCTGTGTCATTTGTCAGTCTCGAGGAAAGCCTATTGTACAGGTGAAAAGAGGTGGTCTACTCATGGGTAAAAAAGGACATTTGCAAAAACAAAGGACTGAATGAATTCATTTTATAGGAAATTGTCCCCAGTTGGAGAAGAAGGTGGAGTTAAACTGGGCTATGGTCCCAAAGCTGTAGTTTTAAAAATTATGACTTTTCTTGTCTCCTGTTTTTCTAAATTTCCTTTACCTCACTCTGACAAAGGCTGACAGGTGATTACTAACCATAATCTGAGGAGCTGCATATGCATGTTTGGGTGGCTGTTGCCTGGCACCCTGGATTGAGCACATCTGCCCTCCTTCCCTGCAGCAGCCAACCACTAGGATAGACACCTATTTCACAACCCCGAGGTTAACAGAAGATGCATAAAACAGGGCTGAGAAAGTCCCAAGGCTCAGGATCCCTGCTGGTAGGGCCCAGAGGGGCTGCACAGGCCAGGTCGGAAGACCCAGTCATCCTCCTCCCTGGGCCACTGGTAAAGTTGTTTTCATGGTTTTGGGTGTGGTAAGAATACAGACATCAGAACTGAGAGCAGAAGAGACAGGCCTTGCACTGGCAGCCGCCTGTGAAGGCCAAAGCCTTCTCAGCCTGTACCCAGTGCTGACGCAAACCTGGCCCTGCTGTGTGTGTGTGTGTGTGTGTGTGTGTGTGTGTGTGTGTGTGTGTGTGTTGGAACTAGACCTATGGTCCACATTGATTGACCGGGGCTCCTTCTCTGGCCTCCACCTGGCCCAGGTCCCTGGCCTTGGCCAAGACGCTGTCTCTGCAGCCAGCTTCATTCTCTTACCAGACAAGAGCATCCTGGCCCTCCTGGAGCAAAAGCTGAGGGAAATTGACGAGGAGTGCCGGATCAAGGAGAGCAGGCGAGTGGACCTTGAGCTGAACATCATGGAGGTGAAGGACAACCTGAAGAAGGCTGAGGCTGGGCCTGTGACACTGGGCACCACAGTGGACACTACGCACTTGGACAACATGACCCCCCGTGTGAGTGGTGGAACTGGTGGCTCTCCTAGGGAGGCTATCCAGGAGGCAGGGCTTCCTGGACTCAGGTTGAGGAAGGGGCCATATTTCCCTTCCCTTGACATGGCCCTTGATCTCTCTCTCTCTCTCTCTCTCTCTCTCTCTCTCTCTCTCTCACTGTAACCACAGCCTAAAGCAGCCACCACCTCCACCCTAGACAGCACCCCGGTCAACTCTGCCACTGCGCTCAAAAACAGGCCTCTTTCAGTCATGGTCACAGGCAAAGGCACTGTGCTTCAGAAAGCCAAGGTAAGTGGTCAGCCCTGAGGACCAGCAGAATTGCTAGCATGAGGCCTTCCTTCTGTGCAGATGGCACTGTATGGCTTTTAGTGCCAGCCCTGAGGACTCTGCATCTGCAGGAAGTGGCAGTGTGCCTTCTCTTAATCTTTGGCACTGATTAACAGAAAGTTGCTTGCATTGGATTCACTTGTTCTTACCAATAAGCCTGAAGACACTTCAGTCCCAAATGTCCCACAATTAAACCTCTCAGTGGATCCCTGGGGTAGCTATAACTCAGGGACAGATTGTGACCAGTTTTCAAACCCAAAAGTCAGTGACAACTTGGACTTCTCTGTTAAAACTATTAAAGAAGCAGATTCAAACAAGCAGTGTGGTTTGCCAACAGCTAGTGGTAACAGGCTCAGCAAGGCATAACCAGTGGGTCCTATGACTGAGTTCTCCCTGAGGACTAGATAAAAAGGGATACTAATCCTTAACTTATTTGTATAATAAGGAAAATGCCAGGAACTGCCTAGGGTTTTGGCATATTCATCTCTTTGTCCCTGTCCTGTCTACTTGCTGAAGATAACAGTGGTATACACCAGTGGCAAACTGTTAAATCCATTTCCACTCATTAACCTCAACTGCCTCAGCGTCATGGCAGACATCACTAATCACTTGCAGCACTCTGTCGTGCTGTACCCCCAAACTCTCCTGATAGGTACTCCATGCAGAGACTAACACAGAGGGTTTCAAACAGTTTGACCATCTTATCCCTGTTTCTGTGCTTAAAATAGTTCTAAGTATATAAGCTTACAATAGTTCTAAGTATATAAGCTTACTACAGAGAATAACTATCTCTTTTGGGGTGGGGGGTGCTGGTATTTGTATGGGGTTCTAGGAATGGGAGAAGAAAGGAGCCAGTTAGGAAACAAGTGTCATCTAAAGACTATCATTGTGGACCTTGATGACAATCCTGCTTCAGTAAAGTCGTCTTTAAAACAGCACCTCTAAAGAAGGGTGAGTCTGTTCAGAAGAAAAAAGCAAGGACTGAGGTATTCTGAATGGAGAGCTTTGGCTACAAGGAGGCTCTGTTCCTTTGCTGAGCCAGAGGAAACACTACAACCACCACACAAAAGGCTTTTTCGGAGACCCTTCATCTACTGGCTGTAAACAAGACATTGTTTGTATTTAGGGATGTTCTGTTTCTTTTTTGAGGTTTTCATCAATTGGTTTATCAAGATGTTTAGTGAAAAGCCTCTGATGTTTAGACTTTGGTGAAAGAGAGTATCAGGGCTCTGGAGCTTTGATGACTGAGAAGAACTGAACTCCTGTCATCTCTTACCCAATACCTAGCAGTATTGGGGGTTAAACCATCCTTGATTTCCAGTTCATTTTCTCCACTATGTATTACTGATGATTTTAAACAACAGTGGCAGTACCTGTGTAAAACCACCTGCAACCTGAGTTTGTAGAAACAATACCAGGAGAAATATTTGGGACCAAGAGAAATACTGATCCAAATAAGATTTTTTCTTCCTACTCCAAGGCAGGCCTCAGTGACCTGCCTTTAAAATGGTAAGTGATGCTACATTATGTAAACAAAACTTATTTAAAATTATGCCAAATCACTGAAAAATGTTTTGAGATTTAACTTTTACATAACTATAGAAAAAAATTACCTTGTGTTTACAAATACAGTCCTGTGGTCAGGCCATTTTTAAGTGAAGAGTTATTTAATACTATGTGCTTATAGTTCTTGTTTTGCAATTCTAATTTCTAGTACCCTTGCAAGAAAAAAGTGAATTTTAGGGCTGGGGATTTAGCTGGGGATTAAGCGCCTGCCTCGCAAGAGCTTGGTCGTGAGTTTAATCCCTGGTACCAAAAAAAGTGAATTTTGGTGAGGGTGGCCTCCCTCTTCTCTGACAGTGCTATTCTATATGTTGTCCTGTCTCTTGCAGTGGCATTTTTTATTAACACAGATTGAAACATTTCAGGAGGTTCTGAATCAGAGTTCTCAAACAGTGGTTCCTAAGAGCTAAAAGTCTTTTTTACTCATATTGTCTTTCTAATCCCAGGGCATTTATCTCCTATGTCATAAATACTTGGTGATCTTTACCAAGTGGTTTGATTTTTTTAAAAATAAAATGTTCTTTGTACTTGGGGTTTCCCTTGTAATTTATGGCATGGCATGGGGCAGGGTCTAGTGAACTTTATTTAAATATTAAACTTCAAAATATGCAAGGTGGGATTTTAGCAAGAGACTATAAACCTCCTTAAATCAAGTAACCCAGGTAAATATGAAGAGGATTTTAACATACAGCAATGTACCAAAACATGTAGAGTGATGCCTCAGTGCATGACTGCTTTAGTTTGCAAACTCTGCATTGGATGAACACGACCATGGCCATCCTTCCCAGAATCATGGAATGAATTAAGTTTGTGAACCGAGGTACCACTGTGTACGGAAACATCTGCAGAAACTGCAGATATGTGGGTAAGTGAAAATCAGTTCTCCTAGAAGTTAGTTTTGGAGGCTATAAACATTATCAATACTTGGAAGGCTGCTTAAGTAGTAATTAAGGATGTTCATACCATTATGGTGTTTATTTTAAAAAGTGACAAAACCAAATCTAGCTTATTAAAAAGACTAATGCATTTAAAAAGACTAATGCAATTAAAAAGGCTAGATGAAACAGCAAAATTTTAAAAAGAAACCTTTTTATTGGGGTGTGGTGGTTACTAGGTGTGGAATCCAGGCCTTTAAACATGCCCTCACTCTGGCACTAAGATATCTTGCCAGAGGGCTTGAGGGGAGCAGTATATTTTTTTAATTATAAGGAAATACTGAAAAGTATGGATATTCAGCATTGCTCTGATATCAAAAGGTATATGTATACTGCAAGGTAAAACCAAATCTCACTTTCAGACATAGATTTTAAAACATCTTATTGGCAAATGAAATTCAGAAGTGTTTAAAAAATTATATATACTGATAAAATAAGGTTTATCCAAATATTTACCCAAAGATTTTTTTAAAAGGTTCCATGATAGAAAATATACAAACATTAATTTGTCACATAAAGAAATTAAGTATGAAAAATAGTCATCTAGGGACAGGAATAAACACCCTCAACTTGATAAAGTGACCTTCAGAAAACCCAGAGGAATTATTATGTGTTATTTTCACTACTTTCCAAAACATTATCACAGAGGCCTTAGACAAAGCAAAATGACAAGAGTAGTATTTGACTTCAAAACGACCCAACAAAACTGGTTTCTGCTGAATGATATTTCCCTAGAAAAGCAAGAAACTCAGTTATGAGAACTAGCATGTTCAGCAAGGTGATGACATCAGGATCACTGAGAGAAAACAAAAGGAGATTTATGATCTGCCATTTGTGTTTGTATGAGAACATATTGCTTAATAAGAGCTAAAAATTATAACATTTTAAATGAGAGAAAAAGACTTGGCTGCTGAAACAGGAAAGCAGGAATTCCCTCTGTCACTGCTGGAACACTGATCAAGCTCACTGGCCTTTTCCTAGAAAAACAGGAAAAGGTTTCAAGGACTGGAGCCCTTGCTCCTAAAAACAAACCATAAAGTCCCTTTAATATGTAAGTAATTCACATCAGGTACCCATCGGACCTTCAACACAACAAAGAGCCTACAGGATAAAATAATTGAGCCACTATTACAGACAGGGAATTCATACAGTTCTGTGGTGTCACTAATTAGCATCCCCTGCTTGGGCATGTGGACCTGCACTAACATGGCCTTCTATGAAATTACGAACACAGTATGCCTCACGCAAATGACTGTCATGAGCCAAACATGGGACTGCAGACTTTGTCTAATGATACCTGGTGATCCCTCTTCAAGTACTTTGCAAAAATCCCAGATTTGTTAAAGCTAAGTACCATTTAAATCAAGAAAACCTTGAACATCTGTATGTAAAACAAATTAAAATATTTATATTAAAAAGAAAACATAGTAAAAGTCTCTCGATGTATGTCAGAACACTACAAAGGCTGAAAACCTAACTTGAAACATGACCAAGGGAAAAAAAAACTGATATAGTACCTCCGTTATCCTCACATTATAAGGGTATTTAGTTGTGTATAAAATATTCCAAATATTTCTGCTAAATAACCAACATCTCTTGAAAGAGTTCTCTAGGGCTGGGGATTTAGCTCAGCAGCATAAACACCTGCCTTGCAAGCACATGGTTGTAAGTTCAATCCCCAGTACCCCACCCCAAAATTCTCTAAACACTTAGCATAAGACGCAAAGCAAAAACAAAACACAAAACTCTCCACAAGTGTCTTTATCCTTTACATGTTGGATTTAAGAATTCTTTGTCCCTACTACCAGCTGGGAAAAGCAAATCTCCAGTAAGAACCCACCATTAGCCCCTCGCAAGTAAACACTTTCAAAAGAACACTCCAGAGAGCTGGTACCTGGCATCTAGACTGGTCACATGTGGCCGCTCCAGAATGGGCCATCCACATGCCTACCCCCCCCATCACCAAGCAAGTGGGTCAAGTGGTCAAATGCACTTTGAGACCTTTGGTCTGCCACACAGATCCAGTCACCAGAAGTCACAAATGCCATGGAAGTCCCTTTTCCATTTAAAAGCAAAGCATGCTGGAGTTCTTCTGGGATGCAACGCAGTCTACACTTTTCCATCTGGAAATGATGCCATTGTGTTGGTGGTCCAGATGACAGCTTAGTCAATACTTTTTGTTGGAGCTTTCTGTCTCAATAAAATTCTGTCTGACAAAAGTGAACTTCACACAAAGCCATCAGCATTCTCCATTATCCCCTGTTTATCCTCAGGGGAAAAGTGGCAGATGACATCCTTGACAAGGTGCAACTGGGTCAGAAAGTACTCACAGCAAGAAGCCTTTTCAGCATCACTCTCAGTAGGTGACATCAGCTGCTCCTGTTGTCCCAAGCACCACAGGTTGCATCCTGTGCCTGGCACAGGCTGGTAGGGGGGCTATATGCAGAGCAAGCTGCAGACACACAAGGACCCAGGCAATGTGCTCTGCCAAAGGCAGTGCCCGTTCAGCTCCCAGGATGCCCAGGTCTCTGCAATTGCTGGGAGCCATGTACGTGCAGCCCTCCAGCAGGATCCTGGCGAGAGCCACGTGCCTTGAGGGCATCTCCTCTCAAGACCCCTGAAAAAGGATGTGAATGCTGAGGACGTGAGTGTCCAAGCCCCTCCTCAATCTGTCAGTACCACTGTGGGCCCGTTCCTGTCCTCTTATCCAGCACCAAGCTGGAAGACACCAGATCACAAATCCCATCTGACTGCTCTTTTTTTTTTTTTTTTTTGGTCTTTTTCGTTTTTATCGGTACCAGGGATCGAACTCATGACTGCCTGCTTGCAAGGCAGGCACTTATGCCGCTGAGCTAAATCCCCAGCCCCCTGACTGCTCTTCTTACCACACCCTGCCCTCAGGAGTTGACTGTGCCGGGGGCTGAAAACCCAAAGCTCTAGCTGCAGCCGTCTTCTGATTTCTGGCAGAGCTAACTTTCAGCTTGGGAACAAGAGCCACACGTGGGCCCCTCATGCTGCCCAGCATGCTCATTCCGTATGTCTTTGAATGTTCACCCTTCTCTCCCAAAGGCTACTTCTCTTAAACTTCTATCGTCTCCTCCCTGTCCCCTCCCCCCCCCCAGATGATGGCTGTTCTTCCATGTCATCAGGCAAGTAGCCTCAACAGAGGACCAGCAGGCCCTACCACCGCATCCCCCACTCACCTACCTCTGGGTTCACGTCCCCATCCTCATCTCCCTTACTCTGGATTCACTGTGCTCCTCACCAAGGCTCCCTCCTGGTTGAGTTTTCCAGTGTGCTCGTCTCTATTATACTATATATTTATCTGATTTAATGTTTATTTCCACACTAGAATGTAAGCTCCATGAAGTCAGATTTTTGTTGTGTTTGTTGCTATCTTTCCTGCACCTGGAACAAAGCCTGGGACGTACACGACTCTAAATGATCCCTGGGTGTATGAATGAATGCTTGAATTTGGAGCTGCCTTCTGCTAGGTTTATGAGACTGGCAGGTCTTAGAGTCCCATCCCTAGCTCACATGTGCAGAGTGGGGCCACTCACGGTTCTCGCAGTGGGGCCCCTGCCAACCGTCACGGCACTCGCAGCGGTAGCTCCCGCGCCGCAGGACACAAGTGCCCTCATTCATGCAGGGGCTGGGTTTGCAGAGGTTGACTGGCTGCTTGGCCTCTGTAATGGAAAACGTGTCTGTACCCCGGGCTCAGCCTGGGCTAGACCCAGAGTCCCCACTCTAAATCCAGTTAAAACAAATTCAAGGCCACTGCAGTAGTGTCTCACCCCTTAGTATCTCTTTTGACCCTAAGCTGTTGCTTCGCCCTTATGTGGCTTATGATGATCAAATCCACCCAGCTCTCCTATGTAAAATGGAGACTCCACATGCAGTGCACATGGCAGGGTTCGCTGCTGTCATTTAATGTCCCTTGCATTTTAAAAGCATTTGGACAGAAAGTGATTGATATAAAAGTCCAGCCTTGGAGTCGGGCTTCCCTATTGGCTCCTAGTTCTGTCACTCATTCCCTAGGTCAGTTTAACCAGCATTGGGGGCATATGGGTTTCCTAAAAATATCATCCTTTTAAACAGCATAGCATGCCGACATCTTGTTTGAAAAGGTGGTCTCTGAGTGGAAGTCTCTACCCCTTAAAGTGGAAGTCTCTCTCCCTTAAATGGGATGGTTATATCTACTGTGGGCTTTCATGGGAGTATAGTATTTAGTACACAAGGCAGGAGATGGACAGTGAGCATTCCGGAACTGCTTCCTGTATAAGGATACATGCAGAGGCTCAGGTATAGGCCCTGTCCTGGGGGCAGCCCTGAAGACTGAGATTTCTCACCTCCACATATCCACTCGATGAGCTTGTCCTGGTGGAACTGCAGGTTGGAGTAAGCAGCTGCGTGGATCAGGACATCCCTCGGACCTGCGAGCCTCCTCAGCGCATCCCGCAGGACAGGACCCACGCCCACAACCAAGATGGAGATGCCATTGTTTCTCAGCTTCTGCGCAGGGACAGCTGCATCCTCTGCCCCCCTCCCATCTGTGACCATCACCACTGCCTTAGGGACCCCAGGCCGGGCACCCTTCTGGACAGTCATCACCTTGTCATAGATGTGTAGTAAGGCCATGCCAGCTGAGCCCACTCCCCCCAGATAGGGGGCCTGGCTCATGGCCCTCAGCACAGCAGCACGGGTGAGGTGGGCATCCAGCCCAAAGGCTGTCTGCACCCGGCTGCCATACACCACCAGGCCAACCTGTACCACGTCAGGGTTCACGTCAAATTGGAGGGCGCAGTTCCTCACAAAGCTCTGCATCTGAGCAAAGTTCTCAGGTCCCACTGTGGCTGAGGCATCCAACAGGAAGACCAGGTCCATGGATTGTGCCTGGCAGCCTGCAGAGGCAAGCAGAGTGGAACCTTTATCTGGACCCGGCTGGCATGGTGGGGACTGCTCTGGGCTAAAATCAGCGCTCATCAGCCGGTCTGTTGTCTGTCCAGGCAGTGCCCACCCTCCTCCTGTGGCCATCAGACACCCCTATCCTAGAAGATAAGTGGGAACATGAATACTGCATTTTCCGCCCTCTTGGCAGCTGGATGTGGACTTGAAAAGTCCATGTGATAGTTATAAACTGTGAAAATTCAAACTTGTGCAAGGAGCTGCTTGCCTACCACTTGCTATGTGCAATCTTCTTGCAGGCTAAGAGATGGGGATCCTGGACCTCAAGGTGGAATGACGAGGTAGCTAAGCCATGTTGCTAATGCAGACTGCTTACCCCTAGCCACACAAGAGGAGAAGATGATTCTATCATGCAACCCATTGGGTTTGGGGCACTGTGATATCATCTTAACTTGTACCTCATGCACACTATTATCAATATACTCTCCAGGTGCTACCCACTGTACACAGGATGCTAATTATAAAACATAGAATAGGCTCACACCTGCGCTCATGGGCTAGGAGTCTAAGGGGCACAGATAGGAAATGAACACAGAATTACAAATGGAGTGAAGAGAAAGGAGACAAAAGTAGGGAACCAGAAAAGTGAGCCCAGGCGAGAAGTCAGGGCTTCTCTGGGGAGGGGCACCAGTTAGAACTGAAGGACAAGGAAGCATGTGAGCTGGCAGGGCAGGGTGCCTCCCAAGCAGGGAGGAGGACTCTCCCATGCTGCAGGGGCTGCAGAGAGACCTGCAGAGACCAAAGGTGGAACAATCAGAAGCAGGAAGAGGAAAGCAGGGTTTCCAGTTGCAGTGGAGGCAACTGGGAGGGTTGAATATGGAGCCAGAGTGTCTAGTACCCTGATTGGTTCCTTTTTTTTTTTTTTTTTTAACATTTTTTTTTTTTTTTAAAGCAATGCTGTTCATTTTTTTTTTTTTTTTTTTGTCTTTTTCCTTTTTATCGGTACTGGGGATCAAACTCACGACTGCCTGCTTTCAAGGCAGGCGCTTATGCCACTGAGCTAAATCCCCAGCCCCCCTGATTGGTTCTTAAAAATTGCATCAGTTTAAGGAAAATTGAGAAACTGTCACAACCACCAGGAGATTAAAGAGAGGCCACCCAATGTCCTGAAGGTTCTTGGCCAGTATTCTGGAATACAAGGACACTAGGTGAACAGGAAATTGGAGAAAAGGATGGACTATAGTAGATAACAATGTACCAATATCTGTTCAACAACTGTAACAAATACATTTACTAATCCAGTTAACAAGACAGAACAGTGGATATGAGATTATATGGGAATTAACTCTCTACTATCATTATATTTTTCCTGTAAATCTACAACTATTCTTTGACACAAAACCACTCTGGCTGCCGTGAAAGACTAGCTGGGGTAGCAGGGTAAGAGTGAGCAGGCAAGTCCTGTCCTCCCTTTAGAGGAAGGAGGGCCTCTTGGCTGGGGAGAGTGACATGGGCTGAGCAGCTCAGTCCCACGTGCAGCTTACATGGCCCAGCTCTCCATGGAGTAGCAGGGTGCCCATCATGGACATATTCCAGCCACCTACCTCTGGCCGTGGCCAGGCTCCATGTCCCACAACAGCCTGCAATAGTAGCTCATGAGATCAGCTTCACAGTTCACAAAACAGAATAGAACAGAACAATGTTACAATGTTCCCCAGGGATAGAGCAGGATAGAGTGTTTCACAAAACACTTGTGTTTATGTATGTGTGCATGTGCGCGTGTCCAGGAATGTATTTCTTTTTGTGGGATGCCATCAGATCGCCTGGAAAACTGCTTTTCTAGATCAGGCCTGGTAGAGTCAGAGCTCCCTGCTAACACTAGTAAGAATAATGCCACACCTAAAATTCACAGATGATTAGTCTGTACTGAGTGTGCATATTCCTCACCTCACCTAATCCTCACAAAAGACCTCTCCAAAAATGCCGACTAGTTCCTTGATCTTAACTAGTAGACTTGAGAAACTGGTGCCTAGGAGAAGGGTTATGCTTGGTCAGGTACTGTAAACTTACCTGACCGTGGTCGGGTGCACAGCTTGCCCTGCAGCTCAGGGATTTTGTTGAACAGATCCTGAGGTTCTGTGTAGACCATCACATGCCTCTGGCTACCTGTGATCTCCTCTAGCTCTGCCTGCACTGCCTCACTGCCCACACCAAGCAGGAGGAGATCCCGGCCTCTTGCATGATGTGCAGGGCCAGCCACCTCATCCTGGGAGTGTGACTCAGTAAACAGGACCACCACCCTTCTTGGCCGATCTTGTCTTGTCCTGGTGGCAGTCCCAAAGCCACGCTCTGCCACCTGGCGCAAGGCTTTCCCTGTAAGGGTGGGGCCACCATTGAATGCGATGCCATCGAGTCTTCTGACCAGGTCCGGCATGTCCTGGTACTCCCCAATAGGCACCACCACTGTCAGCTCCCCGCTGTAGCTGGCCACTCCCACACGGGCTGGAGAGTCCTCGCTCAGCACGGCCTGCGCAAAACGCTTCACAAAAGCCTTGGCCCGCAGGAAGCCTTCCAGGGTGGTGCTTGCAGAGCTGTCCAGCAGGAAGAGAACATGGATTCTACGCTCCAGGCTCAGCTTCAGAGCTGTTGGGACCACACCAATACCCACTGTCATTCTGCGGCCAGAGCAGCATTCAGATCAGTCCCACCTAAAATGCCCACACACCAATTGGCAAGAGAAGCCTCCCACTGTGAGCGAGCCAGACATAGACCCTGGAATTTGGCCCAGAACTAGAGGCAGATGAGCCCTCTCTCCTTGCTCTGGCCCAGGGTCTCTGTTCCAACCACTTCTTCAAGAGCATAATAGTTTTCTCCATAACTAATAGTGGTTTTTGTATCCTAGGAAATCTTTGTGCGTCTTGAGATCATAAAGATGCACTACTGTGTTTTCATCCAGAAGCGTCTCTGCTTTGTCTTTTACATGTAGCTCTCTAGTCCACCTGAGATTGACTTGTGGGTAGGTTTTGGGGTACAGGATCAAGATTTATTTTTTCCATATGGATCTCCAATACCACATATTTAAAAGTTACTATTTAATACTCACTTTATGTCAAGTCCTATTCTAGCTAAGCACTTTACATATTTTTATTTAAAATTCTCAACCACTCGGTGAGCTAACACTTATATGACTTTTTTTTTCATATCTTTAAGAACCAAAAAGGGTAGAGGCTCCTGTTTACTCTTCTTTTGTAGAAGAAGAAAGGAAAGACTCTGCCCATAACCATAGTTGGCTCCAGCCTTCAGCTGGGTTTCCTGAAGGCAGTGGTCATTCCACAGTGGATAAACCGAATCTCTGCCACCTGAATTATTTATTCATGGAGCACTTAGAAACTGCACCATCTGAGATGTCAGATCGATGGAGGGCTGGGAAAGTAGGGGCTCTAATACTCAAGAGATGGTTTCTAGGTGGGTAGAAGTTATGAAGGGGAATCTAGGCTCTACCTGCTCCCCAGTGGATAAATCTTGGAAGTCCCACGTGTACATACCACAGTTGGCTTCCCCTCTGAAGGCCAGTGGGCAGAGACAATGGTACCTGTCCAGTCCTTCCGGAACACATGTGCCTCCATTCTCGCAGGGCTGGGAGTCACAAGGACCTATCAGAAAGATACCCATTGAGAAGCAAGCACACTGATGCAGGAGCATAGAGGGCCAGCTGGAGAAGCGAGTCCTGCAGGGCCCCAACCTTCTCCTCCACTGTCTGCTGAGAACCCAGGTGCAACACATGTAGCAGAAAGGAGAAAGACCAGCAAATGCTTAGAGAAGTGTCTGGGTCTGGTTGGCACAGGACACACAGTGGTGGACTCGTAAGGTGCTGTGTAAATTACACACACTCCTGTGGAACCTGGCTGTGATACCCGAACACAGGCCACAATAGCCCAGAGCTGCTGAGGTCTGAGGGAGCTCAGGATGGTTGTAATGATTAACTCTGCTGGGCCTGAGCTTGGCAAGATGAAGATCTCAGGAGCATCAAGGTGCAAGTGTGAGTGTCTTTAAGCCTCAGGGGATGCTAGAGGGCTGCTGAGGCCCTTTTTAAAATTCTCCCATAGTTGTTCCTAATGACCTCTGAGGCTAACACAGCAAAACAGCCAGCCTTCATTTCTTGCAGCCAGAAAATTCAGTGATAAATGTGGCCACCTGCACTTCTTGGACACCTTAATTTACCTCTCCACGCTTCTGTGCCTTCATCCCAACAGAGTCCTAGTGCCTGTACTCATTCACAGGTTACTGTGTGCATGAAATCAATTACTCCACAGAGATTCTTGGCATCAAGCAAATACTCCCTAACAGTAACATTATATGCACATTGGATGTGAAGTGAAAATTATGCATAATGCCTCCATAAAGCTGATGTTACACAGGAAACTACTGCCTATATCAAAATCAGGCCCATTTGCAGGGTCTGATGATAATCTTCAGTCACTATCTGAATGCCCTATCAATTTCCTCATCCATGGCAAAGGTAAATAAAACTGCATGACCTCCCAAGGTTAAGGAGAAGAACCAGGATCTTCATGTGTTCATGTATTCAAAGGGTTTAATAAACAGCTGAATGTGGTCATAATTTGGATTAGTGATTTTTGTCTTTTTTACTTCAAAAATATTCTCTGGTGGCCATATCGCTGTAATTAAATTGCAGACTTCAAAGGGAGAAATTACTGGAGCGAACTCAGCATCCTCCAGCCCTGTTGTCCTGGAAGCTGGAACACTGTGCAAATATCCTGGGTTCATGAATTGTAGCAATAAAGACCTTTAACTGAGTAACTGCTATGCGCCAGGTTCTGTGCTCAGGACAGATATGACTTTATTTCATTGTCGCAGTCACCTTAGGACACAGGAACTGTGGGACTCCGATTTTACAGACAAGAAGGCTGCAGCTTAGAGAAAAGAAGTTGTGTGCAGAAAGTCAGGTGACTGGGGAGGGGCACAGCGGGACTCATGCTCAGGTCACTCTCGGAGTCTACAGCTTGCATGCCACGGCGGGGTGTCTGTAACACTGAAAGCTCTGTAAGGTTTTCCACCACTGTTCCAAGTCTTCAGATTCTAACTTCTGAGCAGCACAAGCCCCACCAGCAGTTTTCCAGGGTCTCTAGTGATGGATCTTTTAACACAGCCACAGGCCATGCCAAGGGAATCACCTGAGGCCAGGTAGGAACCCTCTTCTGCCCATGCAAATGCAGGCTCTGCCTTCTGGGACAGGCTCCTACCTCACCAAGAGCAGTAAGCCCACACAAAGATGGACCCCAACCCACTTGAGAACAATGTCAGCTCCCAGAATGGGTACTATGGATTCCTGGGTGAGGACCAGAGAGGACACAGGGAGAACTGTGCTGACCACGTGGGCAACTCCTCATGTTTGTTTGGAATTTTATAGCTGATAAAGCATGGGCATAATATATTGAAACTTGCTAGGACCTTCTGTATGAGATCACCTAGTGTATGGAGGGGGAAATGCAGACTCCAGACATCAGGCAAACGTTTCCTCACTTTACCTCTCACATATCTTGCAGAGTTTGGTACTGGATGTGAGGCAGAACTGGTACGTGTGTAGACTATTTCTCTGCCTCCCACCAGTGCAAGGAGTGTTGGTTAGAGGGAGTGATTCCAAAGCTGGCGCTTCACTCTCAGAGTACCTCTGAGCCAGTGAAGAAGAGTGCAGCACAAGCATACTCTTTCCCTGCCTGCAAAGTGACCCTCTCCCTCTGCCCTGAGCCTGTCCCATCCCCACCTCTGCCCTAGCACTTGTCACTGCACATTTACAAACCAGCCTGATGCGGGGTCCCAGAGAGAGCTGCTGAATCCAAGAGGCAGAACATACCTGGACAGGTGGTCCTGTAGCAGGTGGCAGGGTGGCTTAGAAATACTCTCTTCCAGCTGCAGTCCAGGGAAACAGCAGCACAAGCAACAAAAACATTGTAACATTAAATGCTGATAGATTGCAATCTAGAAGTGAAATTGAATCTAGAAGATTTCAATCTAGAGTCAAAAAAGACTCCCTTGTTTTCTTTCCTGATTCTACCCTAAATTTTATCTACACATAGAATAAGGGGTATTTCCCCTTACAAAGAGGTTATGCGTATGCGTGTATGTACGTGTAAGTATGCGTATGTACAATTTTTAACCTCCAACTATGGGAACAGCCTTTTACTGCAAATTTACTTTGAGGTCCACGAGGCGGGGAGCTGGGCCAGTGGATTCTGAGTGACCTCAGTATGCTTCATTTTTTCCAGTCTGCAACACCCTCTTTTATGCAGTAACACTACCTGTAGGTTTTCACTGCATTCCTTGCTGGTGAGGTTTTGGTGGTGAGGGAAGGGGACAGAGGCCAAGTCACCAGACCTCCTGCCATGTTCCAGCCCAGTCCCCTGTCTGTCCTGCACAAGTGTCCCAGTGAGGCCCTAAAGCTTAAGAGGATCTGCAAACCACAGGATCGGATGACTTCTCAAGTTTGTGTCAGCACTAGCATTCTGTGACAACAACAGCCACAGAGATTCCCAGGGTGGCGTGGGAAGAAACAGTGATCGTGCTGGTGAGAAAGTGGGTTCAGAGGGCTGAACCAGGCTGCTCAAAGGTTACTGGGCACAGAGCTGGGATCCCAACCACCGCCTGCCTGAGCTCTGTCACTTGCTCCCTCCTAGGTCTCCTTGAATCCCTGCTGCAGGCTCAAGAGTCTTGTCCATGCCAGAAGAGTGCCACTCTCCCTGCAGCTTGGCAACGCTTGGCCCACCCCACCCAGGCCATATGTGTGGCCATAGACAAACCTATAGAAGGGACAGCGTGTGGCCAGCACAGCATCGGCCCGCAGGGCTCCTCTCCAGCATGGGGCGGTGCCAGCCAGCTCCCTGATGGTCTCCAGCGTCCTGTGCTCACAAGGGTGAGCCTCGACCCTGCAGTCTGTGCCCACAGCACACACCAGCAGAGAGCATGCAGTCAGACAGGGTGAAGCCTCCACTTGTGCAGTTCCGCCCCACCCCAGCCACTTTAGACCTCTCTTGGGGTACAGCACACAGGCAAGAGTCCAGTCTTTGGGCATCTGCTCTGCATGGCCCTACCCCATGGCCTTAATGAGCATGTAGTCTTGTACTTCCGTCCAGCAAGGTCACTGAAGCACTGGAGGGAGCCTGACAAGGATGGTTAGAAAGTAGGGATCTCATCCCCTACCTGAAGCTGCCCTGTGCTGACCAGGATATGGGCAAAGCACTTGGCTCTTTTTCACAAGCAGGGGGTGGGCCCCATCAGGTCTGGACCCCAGGCCTTGGGCCTCTCCCTCCCCAGAGACAAGCTCAGGTACCAGCTGGGAAACCCCCAGGGGCGTATGGACACAGTATAGAGTGCCCCAGCAGAGTTGGCCATTACGCTCATCCCCTTCCTCTTTGGGGAGGCTCTGGCCTCAGGAACCTGCCCACCCTACCCAGCCCCTTGGCCCTCTGGGGCACAGTCCTACCTGGAGCAACAGCACTGCAGAGTGCAGAGCTGCTGAGGGCGCTGAGGAGGCCATTGGTGGCATCCTCCACTTGCTCAGCCAACAGCACGTGCTGCTCCTGGGGCTCGCTGGCCAGAACGTGCAGCTCCTCCCACCTGTGCAGAGAGGTCCCAGAGGCTGGTGGCACCACTCCCACCCTCTCCCTGCCCACCAAGAGGAGGGCTTGGCACCGCAGGAGCATCCCACTGAGCCAGAGGTCACTTGGCAGCAACCGGGTCCATCTAGGACACAGATGAAGACCGAGAAATAAGCCAAAGAAAGTCCTCGAGGAAGCTGGCCCTCGGTCACCATGTGCATGAGTTCAAATTCCTGATCTCCCTTGGAGGACAGCCTCATCCTTAAGACCACTGCTTCTTATATGAAATAAAGACCTTTCAGACTCAATGGTCTGTTTTTGGAAAACTGTTTTATAAGAAAAAAAATCAGAGAGCACATGAAAGAAAGCAGTTTGAAGTAACGACAAGGGAGGAGCAGACAAGGACAGCTAGTGATAGACAAAAACACTGAATTGTTATAAACCCTGGCCACATAAGCCCAAGGCCAGACTGTGAGCCTGTCCAGGAGAGGCAGCCAGCGTGCTTTGGTGGCCAGAGCATACTGTTCTCTGCGCCCAGGATGGAAAAACAAGTATCAGGATGATGACACTGGGACATATATGAAAAGATTAAATGTCTTTGAGAAACTACTTTGTAAGAAGATGGGACAGTCAGTGAGGTGCAGATAAGAATCCTGCCATCAAAAAATTCATCAAAATAGCTGGGTAAGGTGATAGATGCCTGTAGTATGAGCCCTGCCTGGACAATTTAGTGACTTGGTGAGACCCTGTCTCAAAGTAAAAGATGAAAGTGACCGAGGATGTAATCAGAACAACGGTTCTAGGTTTGACCCCCAGGAACAGGGTGGGGTGGGGGAAATGACAAAAGCTTCATTTATTTCCAAAATTCACGAATGTAGAACTCCCCGCTGTCATGTAAATCCATCTAAACCAGAAATTTCTCCCAGCACCCGCTCAGTGGATAGCACACAGCAGGAGATTTTCAAGGTGGCCTCACTTTTGTGTTCTGGCAGCACTGCCTGGCCTGCCCTCTGGTCTCCTGACCCAGGCCTCCTCAAAGGGAACTCACATATTAGCCAACAAATGCTAAAGAGTGAAAGAGACCTACACAGTATCCTGCTGTCTTTGGTGGGCTTCGGAATCCCAGAGCCTGGCATCCCACAAAGGCCCCTTCCCCAAGCAGGTGCATTTCCCCAGGCAGGGCTACTACTGCATTTTTTTTTGAGAACTGCTAACCAACTAGGTAGGAGTGAGAAAGAGGGGGCCAGGCAGGGGATCCTTTGGAGGCAGCTCGACCCCTCCTCCTGACCTAGGGCTGCTCCATGTGACATGTAGAGAGCGCCAATCCCCAAGCTGCTTACTGCCCCATCAGAGCGCTGCAAGCTAGGTATCCAAGAGTAAGCTCAGAAACTACCAGGTAGCAGCCATGGTCATTTTACATCTGCTGAATAACAAATTTGAGCTTATTGTTTTTTTCATTTCATTTTTCTGCTAGTTCACTGAATTTTTAAAACATCAGCCCATGTTGGGCCGAGGGTAGGGTCCATTGCCGCAGTCTGAGCCGCGCTGTTTCAGCTGTCAGCTAGAGGTGAACAGGAAGGAGATGTGCATTTCTATGTGTAGCACTTAGTGCCTTGGTTGACAAAACTGGGCAGCAGCGACCTTCAAGGCGCTCTTTGCAGCATGATGTGGAGGAGGGTAGGTAGGGTCTAACAGCAAGCCCCTCGCTCTTCTCTCCCCAGGTTGTATTCCTTAGGTTTGAGAATACAGAAAGAGCCCAGCCAGGATTCATACCGACTTATGTGGCTGTGACAGTAATGATTCATCACCACAGAACCAAGCTCAATCCTGGCTTTCCCCACCCTGCAGCCCCTTCCTTCTGCTGGCTTCCTCTTTCCAGCCTGCACCTGCTGCCCCTTGGTTGTCTTGGTTGTCTACCTGCGCTAGCTCTCAGGTAACCCTCTCAACTGTCACTCTCTGTGCTTGTCCTCTTCTATGGTCCTCACAGAACCTGCTTGGCTTCATTAAAAGATGTCCAACCTGTACCTCGCACTGAGCCTAAACTGTCAGTTTCTGCTTAAAACCCTCCAAAAGCATCCCACAATATTATTGTGCTCACAATAAACTCCAAGTCTTCACCATGACCTGTGCCTAATCCTGTCCCTCTTATCTGCCCAGATCTCCCTGGCTATTTTCCGTTCTTATAACTCACTGAGCTACCTACCGCCTTGGGGCCTTTGCAGTTGTCAGAAGTCTACTGGCTTTGCCCGCCCTTTCCCTCAGTATTTGGAAGGCTTGTTGTTCATGTCGCTTGAATTTTGGCTCAAAGTTCAACTCTTCCAAGAAGCCTTGGCAGACTCCCGTCTAAAATAGCTACCTTTCCTCTTCCTCATCAATCTTCAGACTTTTATTCTGCTTCTTCTCCTTTCCATTTTATCTGAAATTGTTTATTCATTCACGTATCACCTAGTTCCTTTTTTGGCACGAAAACCCATGAAGGTAAGGACTTTGCTTTGTTGCCTCTGTGTCCCCAAGGCCTAGAATACTGTGCCATGAGGAAGGCAGCCTGTAGCAATTGAGAGGAGAATGCATTGAAATTAGTTTTAAAAATTCTAAGTGTAAGCACATGGCAGGAACATAGTCATTTCACCGAGGATTCACAACACCTAGAGAAATCCATGAACTGGGTGTCCTGTCCATTTTTAGGGTTGTGCCTCTCTTCAAGAAAGGCAGATTTGCCCGGCATCTGAACAAATGTGGCTGGCAAGGAGGCAGCCAGTCATGGACCTTTGCTTTGCTGGCACCAGGAGGACTCAGGGCAAGCAGAATTAGATTACTTGGATCTGGAGAAGATTAGATTAGATTACTGGAGCAGATTAGATTACTTGGATCTCTCTCCAGGATGTGAAGATCTGAGCTGGGCACTGCCATTCCCTATTCTAGCTCCTTAAGAGAACTGCCTGGGAGGAGAGGTGTTGAGGCAGAGACAGCAACAGAGGTATGAAGTAGACAGTGCTGTGCTCCTACAGTGAAGTAGACAGACAGTATCTTAATGGCACCAAAGTTGTGTGGCTCTTGCCCATCCTGAGGGACCCCTGACTCATCAGGAAAGTATGATGACTATGAATTTCCATTTCTCCCCAAATAAACCTGAGCTGAGAGTTTCAGATACTTTCCAAGCAGTGATTGGACAAAACCAGAGATAATACAAACTCTCAGACTTCCAAAACCCGAGATGCCCAACACACAGGAGCCAAAGTCAGCAAAGAAAGGAAAAGACAGAAAAGGCAAGGACTGGGACAGTTTTCCAAACTCCACTCGTGGCACAGCCCTGCGCTGACACAGGACTGAGTCCTTACCTGGGAAACCGGACGCCCACAGCAAACACAGTGACACCTTTTTCCTTCAGCTGCTTGGCCAGCAGTGCCACCTGCCCCTGGGACTTGCCATCGGTGACAATGATGAGTAACTGGGGCACAGAGCCATTTCTGCCTCCAGGGAACCCTCTTCGAAGAAGGTATTTCAGAACAAGGCCTGTCTCTGTGCGTCCTCCCCTGAATGTACCCAGAAGGGAAAAAGAGGCAAAGTCAGTGGGGCAGGGAGATGAATTTGGAAAGAGAGTCAGAAACCAATGTGTCCCTGTCATTGGGAATGGCTGACTCCCAGCAGAGGTGCAAAGTGACAAGTTTGTACTCTAAACCACAAAGATGGGTAGAAATTAACTCTTTCCTTGGACTTCAGTTTTACCCTGCACTTTTCTGTGGTGTTATGTAATAATGTCATTCTTTGCACATCTGTTTTCTCCCCCAAACCCCGTGATGACTCCACGCTGCCAATCCATCATTTAACACCCACTTGCCATCTCCTCATCCATGCATCGACCCCTCTTCCCCTGCCTGTCATGGCTTAGCATGGCAAAGCTATGAGGTAACTGAGCTTAGGGAAACTGTGCTAAGAATCTACAAGAGTGATGGGCAGGTTTTGTTTTAAGGATGTGATGGGCATTCTTTTGCGATGCCAGTCTTGATAGGCCATATCCAGGACCACAGCTGAGTGCTGGAACGCTGAGCTTGTGGACCATCTCCAGCTCAGGTGACAGTGGTCCAACACCAATGATCCTCTATTTGCCAAGAGCTCTGAAGATTGTCTACTCCTCATAGCCCCATAGTAGGGACTGTTGCCCAGGTATGGAATCTCAGAGCACGATTTCTGCTGAATTTTGAAATAGGAGACTTAAGAAGTTGTTTCTCTCGGGGGGGGGGGGGGCGGGGAGACTGCTAGTTTTGAGCCAGCTAGGTAGAAAACAGCAGCTCACTAGAGAGGATCTGAAGTTACTGAATTGCCATCCCACTGTAGCTGGGGAGGGTAGCACGGCCAGACACAGGCCGCAGTGTGGAGGCTAATGGAGACACTATGGTGATCAACTATGGGCATACAAAAAGCTTCTGAAGTGTTAACCACAGACCACAGGGCAAGAACATGAACTGATGCTCAGATCATAATCTATGGATTTGGACAATGCCTGCCATTAATTCAGCCTCCTCAGAGGAGATTACAGTTATTCTTTTAAGTAAAAACATCCAACCAACAAGAAGGCTGGGCATATTCTATGTATCTGTTGGTTTGTTTTAACTTGACACTAAAAATGTTTGTTTCTCATGCATTCTAGTGCAGATCTCCCTGTCCAGGGGTCTCTCCTGCCTGGCTCTCCTCCAAGCAACTACTCAGGCATCCAGGTTCATTTTGTGGTTCCATCTTCCCCTCCAGTTCTCCAAGTTCTCTGCATTTTGCAGAAGGATGGGGAAAAAGCATACAGATTGTATCTTGGGAAGACTTATAGACCAGATCTAGAATGTTCCTCCCTTATATCATTTTGTTATGCAAGCTCTTAAAGGGCAGTTCTCTTTGTGGAGCTCCATTAAGTTAATAAATGTCAACAAGGGTTGACAACTCCTAGAATTAAAGACACTTAGCCCGCAATATACAACAGCAGTTCTATCAATTTAAAACCATTTTTTAAAATTCACTAGTATTTGTAAACCACTAGAGGGAACACAATAAAATGGAAACAAATAAGTGTAACATGATCCCACCCCTTGAACAACTCCCAGTGCAGATGAAGAAATACCAATGCAAAGATGAAAATCTCATGCACTCTGAGGAGGGATTTCCTTGTGGGGTGGGGCTGTAAAGGACAGGCTGCAGAGGGGAAAGTACATCTGAAGGGGTCCTGGTACACTAGTAGACTTGGAGAGGAGGCAGCCATTCTGATATGGGGAAGGGGTGTAAGCAAAGACAGAAGCATGCAACCCAGGTCATGTCCAGGGCTACTGAACATAGCTTGGCTTGCGCAATGGGCCTATCACAGAGGAACATAATGCTTCTACATCAGTGAGTCCCAAATATGATGAGCTCCTCTCACCTTGTGCTGGATTGCACTTGAGATAGCAAAGACAACTGAGAAGGCTCTGATTCTCATAAATACTACTTTCACCAAAGCTGTGTCTGCGGAGTCTTTCTCCAGGGCTCCTGGAAGAGCAGACTATCTCCGAAATATAAGGGATCATACAAGCACTATGCTTCCACCGTGTGCCAGAACTTTTGTATCTGTTCCTGAATAAAATTCTGACAACTAGCAGAAAAGGTGCCAGTATTATCCTCACTTCACTGCTCAGACGATGCTAGTAATAACTGCTAATATTCACAGGCTCTGGATGACAGGTGTTTATAGACTTACATGCGTGCCCAGACCCCACACTTTGCATATGCTCATGGAACTAATTCTTACCACAGCTCTAAGGGATTGGGGAGTTCAGAAAAGGATCTAAGGTCAGGCACCTCATAACTGATAAGGCAATAATCGAATCCTAAGACCTCTGCCCCCACAGCCCAGGTTTCTAACTGTCTGGCCATTCTGCTAGTCAAGCCACTTGCTTCTCACCAAGCCAATAAGGTCAAATCCACCTGACTTTAAAGTCCATGCTTTCTTGTCCACATATCTTAGTCATTTTTCTTGTCATGAGGAACAATACCCCAAATCCACAACTTAAAGAAAGAAAGGTTTCTTTTAGCTCAACTTGCAGTCCATAGTCCTCTGGCTCCAAGCAAGATGGCATGGAAGAGATGAGCTGAGGAGAGCTGCTCACATCAGGGTAGCAGGGAAGCGGAAAGCGAAGGGATGAGCCAGGGAGAGAGATAAACCCTTCCAGGCCACACCCACAGTAACCTAGCTCTTCCACCAAGCTTTCCCTCCTAACAGCAAGTCAGCTATAAGCCCCCATAATCTGATCAGCTTTCTAAACTCCTGTTTATGCCTGTATTGAGGCTTTGGGGGACATGCAGGATAAACCAAATTACCAGGCAACAGCAAATTGCAGCCTGTAAGCTAAATCCTGCCTGTCACCTATTTTGCAGATAAACTTTTATTGGAAAATAGCAACTTCCAATAATTAATATACTACCTATGCAGAAACTACATGGCCTGCAAATGGCCAAAATTACTTATTATATGAGCTTTAAATGAAAATATTTGCTGTCCTTTGTTACATATTGCACTATTAAATGCTCACAAAACTCTCTTCTTCCCAGAAATCAAAGTGGCCAGGCATGGTGGCACAATCCTACAATCCCAACACTTGGGAGACTGAGGCAGGCAGATTGCTGCAAGTTCAAGACTAGCCTGGATTACAAAGTGAGTCCAAGGCCAACCAGAACCACAAAGAGAGACCCTGTCTCAAAAAAAGACAAAAACAAACAAACAAACAAACAAAAAAAACCCCAGAAGCCAAAGTGTACCAGCCAGGAGTCAAGGAGTACTTTAAACCCCGTCCCCTGCCTTCCCCTTCCCCAGGCAGTGCCCTTGCTCTCCCTCGGCCATCCCTTGCCTCCTGCTGCTCTTTGTACATATGCCAAGTCTCAGGACCAAAAGGAAATGTGCTTGTTCTCTCTGACCTTGTTCCCATTTCTCATACAGGCCTCCCTTTTCCTCTTCAGAGTTGTTTTTCCTTTTCATTTATCACTTGCAGAAAAGTCTTAGGTTCAACTCAGAGATTGTTTTTTCTTTTTTTAACAGGCAAAAGAACATACAAATTTCATTGTATACGTAAAGCATTAGAGTAGTAAAGTCTTAGCACAGATTTTCGGAGCGAAGTGCCCCCTATTCATAGCCTAAGTTAGCCTCAAGTTAAATTTCAAGAGCACGAGGGCCCAGTTCACCCACTGCATGAGCCTGACAATGTCACCTGACTGAGCACACAGACACTCAGGAAGTCGACTCTCACCACCTCTGCCACCTCTCCCACAGGAGCATTCCTGCAGGCTTCCAGCCAAAATCAGCCTCAATTCCTAATGATTCTGACCTCTGGCAAGACAGCACAAATGAGACTATTTACCTCATGGACTCTCTCTCTGAGTCTGTTCTGAGCTCTGGGGCCAGCTCTAAACAGGGAGGGCTGAAGTCAACACACCCAGATTTCTCTAATTTCATTCAAATGAACTAAAATAGGTTGAAAGTTGGAGGTTCACAGATGGGCTGCTGTCTTAGGGGGTTATGTTTCTATGCATGGACTTTTCGGGAGTAGGGGGATAGAATCTAATCTTTTGTTATCTGTGTAGCCTTGTGGTTAAGAATAGGGGCTCCTGCATCCAAGGAGCTCTGATATTAGTTCTATGATATCTTAGTCAGGTAAACGTGGGAAAATGGCTTCACCTGAATTCAGTCTCCTCCCACACTAAAGAGGATAAAGGAACAGCACTAGCTGAAGATGAAATGCTGTGCCAAGCATCTCTTAAGACAGTGGTGGTAATCCTTTTAGAGCTTTCAGTTGCCAACAGCCAGCTGTGGTATGCATGTCATAGGTTTACCACCACTATCCTAGGACCTTGCCAGGGTGCCATCGGTGGTAGGTATCTTACGAACAAAGCTGCAGCCCTCTACAAGAAATTTAGAGTTTAAATTCTAATATGCACTTAAAAATCCTTCAGGAAACTTAACATAGATTCACTGATTCAGTCCCCAGGAAATCCAAATTGGCAGCTGTGTAACTGGACCTGAGAATATGCATTTTAGTACAGCCCTGCCCATCCCCAGTGGATTTTGAGGCAAATAGGCCAGCCATAGAACAGACTCTGAAAAACACTTCATACGGAATTCCTTTCAAATCCAGAGAAATCAATTACAATTTTTTCCATTGTATTTATTTTTTGAAGCAATTGAAAAAATGATTGGAATTAATCTAAAAGTTTCCTTTTAAGAGAACTGATGATTAAATGCACTGTAGTAGCTAAATTCCTTAGCTTAATAGTCCAAATGGATCAATATGAAAAAGCTCAGCTTTATGGAGTACATATCAAATAATATTAAACAAATAAATGCTTTGAAGTTAACTGTTCTAAAAGCAATGTTCAAGCAGTTTGAAAGGGGCTAAAGAAGGCTCTTAAAGGGTCTGTGCTAAGGTAAAGTGTTGACAACTACAGAGCCCTGACAAAGCTACTGTGAAGAATAAACAATCCAGTCACAGAAACAAGCTACTGTGAGGAATAAACAATCCAGTCA